ACTAAGAAATTTACTCTAAACATGCGGAACCATTTACGGCAAATCTTACATTCCATCTTATGATTTGATTCATTGAATACAAAATGTCGCAATGCTGACCTACGTTTTCTTTCCATTTCTTTTATTATTTCCGGATGTACTCTTATCCAGATGTACTTCTAAGTGACGTTCATTATATCCTTTAGAAAACGACACTTTATTACAAAGATTACATTTTGGCGAGTATTTTTCTTCTGTGAAATATTGCCATACAAAGTTACTTCGATTAACCTCTTCGTTAAACGAAATATTCCATGAGCACGGTGTAAGTGTATTTAAAAAAAATTTCTGCTGAAAATTTCATGACAAATATTGCATTCTCTTCTAGCAGATCCCTTTTTAATACAATATTCCCATATCCAATTTTTGTGCTTATTTTTCGACACTACGTCCGCACACAGTATCTTAGAGCGTGTATATGCGATGAGACTGATGATTAACGCACAACGAGAGCCGAATTGTACCGGCACGACCGCTTAATGATGAATGGGCCGACGGATTCTGGGTCGTGTACATATAGAAGTTTCTTCATTTTGCCGATCCTTTAGCTCGCGACTGGCGTCCACGCCCCTCTCTCTCTGTAAACGTGCCACCCCGTTTTACCCTTAGTGACAGCTGCGTCGCTTAAAATAGGGGTTTCTTCAACGGCCGCGGTTTACGCGTATTGTATATGCGCGTGTGTATATGCGTGTATGTGTGTATGTGCGTGTCCGTGCGCACGACGAATCATGCAATGATTGCCATCACAGTTATGTCTGACAAGGCCCGTTCTACACGATTTCTATACAGGAGCACACGTTTCATTTCCGATGCTCTAGATATGGCCTACGTTAGATATTCATGAAATATATAACACGGAAATAATTTCTGCCTGAAAAGCATTTTCTCGAACAAGTTCCGTAACTTTAAGACGCTCTTTTTTTTATTATCGTGTATCCTGTTTGAATATAGAGCTTAATTTTAAAGTATGATTTGTTTTAAAATTATAATCTTTACTTTCATCTCGTAATATTTCAGGAGTGGGGGGGGGGGGTGATCAATATATATGAGACAACTAAAAGGCTAAATTTGCCGCGAGAATATACTTATAAACTTTGGTTATTACTTATAAGTGAAAAATTAATTAATACAAGTAAATAAATTTTGTATATACTTATGTACATTCCAGACGATTTTTTGCAAAGGTAAAAATAGAGAAAAACGTTAAATATCGTCTAAAGTCACGATGGATATTTTATCACTGCATGGAAATCGACATTCATTTTTCTTCTCGCAAATGCAGTTGTGATTGGAATTTCATTGGATATTTGGCGGGAACTCAACTCACGATTCGAGATTCATGAGTTTGGAAAGCGATTACATGTCGTTTTCCGCGGAGATGCTCCCGTTAAAATTGCTCTCTCGTTAAAATTCCACAAAAGTCTACTTCTAATTAGCTTGCGATTTGCATCCTCGACGATGCTCGAACTTTCCACGTTGGTTGCAAGACTATCTAGAACGAGCGGTTTTCAGAAGCGTTAAGTAACACGTACTCTCCCTTCGCTCGAGAGAATCTGAATCGATTACATTCTAGCTGAAGTTAATCGTCAGTTTTCCAAGTGTATTGAAAGCAAACGCGCGATTAATGGTATTCATTTCGAAATTCGCTGTTCCCCTATATTTTGGAAAAAGATTCTAATTTTCGCCTGCAAAATATCGTAATTTCTATATTATGTAATTATTGTTATGCAATATAGTTTTGCATTAAATGAACAATTTAATTTATTTACAACAAAAATTGTTCAAAATTATAAAACTTGTACTTATTATGAATCCAAATTATATAACAATTAAACATTTTAACAAAAAATGTACAGACTTAACAAAACTTGTAATGTTGACAAGAATTTGTTAGTATCGTAAATCAGTCTGCAATGTGGCAATTGTTCGAACACGTGCGAAGAGTTTAAAATCCACAACAGAACTTAGATTGTTGTTATTGAGCGGCGCAGCACGTGCTGCAGCAGCTGCACCTGTTAATTTGCGAGAAGCTTACCTCTGCAGTAATTAGTCGCCCGCAAACGAGTCTCGTTTCGTGTGTACCGTTCCTCGTATTAACACTACCTATCACATCCACCTATCTTAACCCCGCCGTATTTAGCGTTAACAAAGAAAGTTGCATAATTTATTTTATCCCCTGCGCGCAAATTCCTGGCATTTTTCGCGCGTGTTGGTTTCAACGTGCTTTTATTTCGTCCGGCGAGGAACGAGCTTGAAATAAATAACGGCGGTTAAAGAGAGAGAGAGAGAGAGAGAGAGAGAGAGAGAGAGAGAGAGAGGCGCACAAAAAGGTGAGGTTTATTCTTGAATGTTCAACGCATGTCATCCTTACACGCATGTTTTATGAATTGCGTATTTCTACGGAGCACAGTTAGCGTCACGGTGTGTCAACCTCATCGCGGTCTCACAGTTGCAGACAGTCGAGACGGGCGATAAGGAGATAAGATCCGGAAACTGGATCCTTCTTCAACTGAATCCCTACGCGCGAGACACCTGAAACGTACTAATAAATGACATAAAGTAAAACATAAACCTCGTTTCTTTCAAAATTAGGTTTCGCTGAAATAAACCGTTGTCTCGTTCACGAGAAATTTAATTCGTTCGCGTCCGAGAGACTCTTTAACGATTCCAGTGCTCCGTTATACTGACGAGGTCATGTGAGGGACGCGAGGGAATACAGGACGCGTCAATTCGAAGTGAAATTTTTCTTCGCAAAAATGTCAAAAGAGAAACGACGCAGGTATTATTTATTGTGTTATCGAGATATGTTATATCTAAAAACCGATTAATGTTTTTTTAGAAAATTCTACGAGATAAGAGCACGCGTTTATCGCGACTTTCCGGTCTTCAGCATTACGTATATCTACGTTAATCCGACGTAGGTATAAGTTTTTAGATAATTAGATAGGGACTTGTGTTATAACATACCCCGTTAAAGTAAAGTCTAATCGCTGTTATGTTCATTTCTATCAATAGAGTATATATAGATTAACTTTACTTTCTGTTTCGCTTTACTCTTCATTTTCTTTCTGATTTTTAGAACGCGATAAAAGAAACTAGAAAATAATAAAAAGACCGAGATTACAGTTACACTGATAGAATTGGAATCAGACTAGTTAGTTAATCAGACTGCAACTTTGCCGTCAATTTGCACGAAGTGCAGCCCTCACTAAATTCTACATTTTCGTTAGTCGCCTAATAAAATATCGTTTTCATGTGGAAAAAATCGAAATGATTGCGAAACACATTGACGTACGTGGCACAGCGATGACATATCGCGTATATAAGTACCTCTTGTCGACGGTGCTTATCAGGCCAAATCGATATTTATGGCGGCCTAGGTGCGACGCGATCACACGATCCTTCGTTCTTAGAATCCACCTACGATACGGCATTATTACTGATTACATCGCGTGTGCGCGATTGGAACGCCGACCCGTGCATCATATGGTGCATCAGGTCGGAATGAATTGCCGGTTGAAAGGTACAATGATGCGCGGGAAGCTGCCACGCGTTGCTCGCGATCGTCATCGGCCCGTAAATTGTTATTGTTTACACATCCGTATAGGAACTTTTTCTAAAGTTCTAAAGAATGCACCATAAATCATAAATCAAATTTTAATTATAAATCATAGAGCAAATTCTATACTACAGACCAGTAGAAATCGCAGACCAGTACATATCGCGAATTTGTGCAAATTGCAAAATTTGTATTACAAATCTGCATCATTAATCTTCTAGAAATCTTCATTCTCCTTGTACTCGCGTATACACACGTAATATACACGATAAAATTTTCACTCGTCGTAAGCACAATTATATTTCTTCATTTACAAAATTCACTGTTAATTTTTATTGGAAAGGCACCGAGAAGTTGAAAAGATAACTCTGTTTAAAAGACAATTCTATAAATCTCTTGGAAATTTTTTTTAAGCTATTTTGTTTAGAGAACTATATAATTCTGTATCTTGAAAATCAAGAAGCGTATTTTCTTCAAAGATTCTGTCTATCAGAAAGGCACCAATTTACTTTAAAGATAATGAAGATAATAATACAAATGTCTTCGCAGATGTTCTTATAGCAGTCTAGAGACTTGTCTTGAAAGTATCGAGAAGCGTAGCTTCTTCGTACCTTCTTCCTTTCCTTCGACTCGAATCGTTAACTCGCCCCTTTTTGCTCGCGATCAAACCGTGGCTTCTACGGGGAACGACGGAGAGGTTGCGACACACCGGCGTACCCGCGTGTCAAGATCACCGGAGCGTGGAACGTCCGGTGGATACGGGCGGGTGCACGTGTCGGCTTTTACGTGCGTTGCATGTGACTCGGCACCTCGGCATCCGAACCGCGGCCGTTCGTTCGCATTCTTTCCTCTCGTTCGCTGGTCTTTTTGGAGCGCGCCATAAATTATTACGTCTCTCTTATACGCACATGCGGTGACTCAGAGGACCCCGTCAGGCCTGAATTCACGTGTGTAATTACACGAGATTTCGTCGTCGAATCTGCCGACACGAATATCAAGGATCAAAATTCTGAAGTCAAAAATCGCCCCGCCCGTCTTTTCGTCGATGACGCAGTCAAATATTTTAACTCGTAATCAAGTCTCATTGTTTATAGATTCAATCGGTGTATCATATGTCATCAGCAGCTTTGCATCTTATCTTTGGCGTATTATCTTTCATTCGTAATCATTCGAACTATTTATAAACCAATCTCTTATGTATACATATACACGCAATAAAGTTATTATATATTGTTATTAATACATCAGATGATATTACGAATTATGCAAATTCATCACGAGTCTGTGATCTATGTATTATATAATTGCAAAACTAATCTGCGATTTGTGCGCGATGCCGTAAGGCTCCTATTAGTCTGCACGAAATCAATCTGAAGAAAAAAAATCATTTCTCTGTTTGCAGAACCACTTCAGGAGCCGCGCTTCACCAATCAACCGTCCAGCAGTGGCAATATACTTAGCGAAAATCGCACGAAGTTTCTGCAATGCCAAGCGAGAGGTAAGAATCACGACCGTAACATATAGGCTTTCTCTGAACATTTCTTGACATAGCAGCAACAGAGAGAGAGAGAGAGAGGGGGGGGGAGGGAGAGAGTTTTCTCGAAAACTTGTTCGGTAATAAATTTTAGTAACCACTCTTGTATTTTGGAAAGCAGGAAAGAAATTAAACTTTTTCTTTTTTTTAATATGTAGATTGTTGCTCGAATTTTAATACTTACAATAAGAACTTTAAGTAGCAAGATCTTTGGCAAATTTAAGTTAAATTGTTTCGTTTTTAAATTGCGCTTTTAAAAATAAAATCCCAGTTAGGTATTTCATTTTGTTTATCAATTTCATCGTTGCCAATTCGAAATATTCTCTCGTCAATAAGTATGAATTGCCAGACTTTCTTGGGGTTTTAATGCTTGAGTGTACAATCGATATTTATTGTATCAAAAGCAATAAAGTGTAAAAGGGTAAAAGAGAAAGGTAAGGACCGCAGCATCGAAGATAGGGTTCGCCGCATGGCGTTTCATTGTCTTAAAATATCGGATAACAGGCGGATGAGACGGTGGCCAGATGAAGCCTTACCAATGCCCAACACCGTGTAATTCAATCGTATGACCCTGTACTAATAGTATTAGATAACTCGCGAGCTACAGCATCGTCCGTGACTTTGCATTCAATCATTCACGAGTTTCTTCACGAGTTAAATCATTCTTTTACTGAAGATAGTTTTCAAACAATCTTTTTCACGGAGTCCAAAAAAATTCGCAGGCCAGAGAAAATACATTTATTAACGAGACAACCGATTTATGCGTTTTTTCGTTAATCTTTACACAATTTTTAAATTTCTTTTTTCTTTATTCTTTAATTTTTAATTTTTTTTTGCTCAAGTTAAACAGTTGAGAAAAATTATTTATATATACGGACAACTTTCGCATCGTCTTTGTAGGCAACCCTCAACCAAAGTACAAATGGTTCAAAGACGGGCTACCCCTCAACAACGAGCTCACCTCGGGGCCCTACTTCCGCATTCACAGTACGCGGCGCGAGGACGCCGGGGTGTATCACTGCGTCGCAACGAACGACGTTGGGTCCATATTCAGCGATCGTCTCGTCTTCGCCGTAGCCTGTGAGTATCTCAACGAATATCGCGTACCGCGGGTATGTCCTCGCATCGAGGATTACGGATTGACGTAATCCAATCTCTTCGCTTCAGATATGGGGACGTTCGACGATCTCACGGAGAAAGTGGTGACCGTCGAGTCGGGTAGCGCCGCGATTCTGGAGCTACCGCCGATCGAGAGCCACCCCACTCCCGACGTGTCGTGGTTCTCCTCGGACGGGACTCTTCTGTACGGCATAAAGTACGCCACGACCCATCACACGTTGATCATACTAAACGCTTCGGAAAACGACGAGGGCTCCTACAGGTTCGTTGTATAATTCGGTGCAATCGCGGCGCGCAGCGGCAGTTTTATCTCGCTCAAAGTTGCGGCGCATAAAATCACTCTTTCTCGATCGACGAAGTTTAAACTTATACCCTTCTGACGTTTACGATGACACAGGGCGAAGGCTATTAACACTCAATTGGGCAAGGAGGAGATCAGTCCGTTTTTCAAACTGAAAGTCACCGGCGACCCGTACGCGGAGGTGGCCCCTACTATAATCGTCAAGCCGCAGGATACGCAGATAATCAAAGATCAAGACGTCACGCACATAAATTGCATCGCGAATGCCAGGTATTCGCGATTCCTTGTTTATTATTCACTGCATTTTTGTTTTTCCTCTTAATGCACAGACAATGTCGCGTCGGTGTTGTCGATCAGCTCGAGGAGATTGAAATTTTAACGTCGAGGCTACATCGTTTTCAGATCGCTTCACGAACTGAGGACCTTGTGGATGAAGGACGGCATTCCGATCGAGAACTCTAGGATATCGTATAGCTTTAACGATTCGTGGAATAGAACGCTCGCATTGATCTCAGCCAACATAACTTACACGGGAATCTACTCCTGCCACGTGGACTTGCGGAGTGGCGGTTATCCGACCGTAAATGCGAGCGCTAAAATCGTTGTATATGGTGAGCGTTATCATTGAGAAATATATAATAAGATAAATGATTCAGTAAAATAACGATAATAATATAATGTGACTATAGCTTAAAGTGTAAGATAATGACACTGAAGATTTCAACAGACCTGAGTCTTTCCTAAAACTCTCGTTACGTTTGTCTAGAAAAACCGACGTTTATAACGGAATTAAAAAGGGAAACTCTGAGTGATTATGGGTCCACGGTAACATTACCGTGCGACGCTAATGGCGTGCCGCCTCCTACAATCAGTTGGTTCCGTAATGCCGAGCCCGTTGATCATTTACTGGGAACCAGGTACGTCTCGGCAAATATGTACTTTTGTGGTCACTGGAATTCGAAGGAGAGAAAGATAAATAAAGAGAGAGAATAGCCTTTTAATTAATGCCGTTTTAACCCTTTTTAACTACCAGTTCTGTTGTGACTTTCTTCTTTAAATCTAAAATTGTAATTATTACACGTGAAAAAGATATTCATTGATGATAAATGAATTTTTTATTGCAATAAATTTTTACTACAAATTAAAAATATATGTAATATTAAAGAGTAAAGACATCATTATTATTCCACAAAAAGATAATTTGTGTAAAATAAAAAACTTTAATTTGGAAAATATTTTATATTTTTACATGTTTAAATCTGTTTATTTCCGCTTTAGGAGAAGTCGAAACCCGAAAATTATTTGAAAATTTTACTATTTTACTCGTGTTTTTATAGATACATGATGGAGGAAGATGGTTCGCTGACAATTAAGAAATTAACTATGGACGACTCGGGGATGTTTCAGTGCCTCGCGTCCAACGAAGCCGGCGAGTCCTCCAGTTACACCTGGCTGAAAGCGAAAAGTGAGTATTTTTCCATAGTTTTCATAGATTTTAGATACATAGTAATGTATCGCGGAATTCTAAAAATAGTGAAAATTATTACCCAGTTCGTACACAGAGTGTTCGCAAAACACGCGACTAAAATACCGATACAATTTTTATTTTATTTTATAAATCGAGATTTTTATAAGCAAGACGGAAAGACGGAAATATTGTTGTTTTTTTTACCAACATAAATTAGAGGTAATTTCTTATATTAATAACAAGATTATTAAGTGATACGCAAATGTATTATGTAGATATTATTTAAAATAATTCGCGTTTTTCGCGGACACTTCGCGTAATAATGTCGCAAGCAAAGTTAATATAAATGAAACGTGTTTTTTGTGTGCGGCACAGAAAAAGGATTAAGAAGCAGATTGAGAAACAGAGTTGCCCGCTGGGCGGCTGGCTACAATGTAGTCAGAGTTCGCCAGTCTGATCGCCGTTTTATGTTCACTCAATATCGAAACAGTAAGAATATTGCAGCGAGATTTCCACACTTCTCTTTTCCATTATCATTTTCGGCACATGCTTGAAGACTGCGTAAAAATTTCACTTCACGATTTTTGCTTTCTCCTATAGTGACAAATTTTCGCATATAGCTCTGATAAGGCAAACAGCACCAATGTCGATTATCTCGGCGTTTTAGAATATTTTTTGTCATTACTTCACGCCACATTTAGAATTTTAGCTATCAAGATATTGATCAGATATACGTTTTTTTTTATATAATTGAATTTAATGATTTAATAATTTTAATTATACATAGTTTGTGTTTTTTCTATATCGTAGAATGACGTACGAAGAAACGTCAAACGATACGATTTGTCGTACTTTGACGTAATGAAATAAATAATAATCCTTAGCACGCGTCTGCGACTGCAAGTAACACGCACGTCCTGTTTTTCCATATAAATTAGAGATATATTCCCAATAAGATTTATTTTTTATATCTGGATTCCATGGATGTCTCACGATAAGTGCCGTTTAGCATTTAGCATTTAGTGATTTATTTTACATGGCATTTATCATGATTGTACTTAGTTATAAGTTTGCGTAGTTTTGCTCTTAAATATGTGTTTGTGTTATGCTTAAAGAAATAAGCTTGTTTTTTTTGGAATCAACATTAGAGAGATAGAGAAGAGGTGAGAATATTACAGATGGGTTTAATATATACATTGCAAGCGACGATTGATCACCCTTTTTTCATTTGCACGTTGTGAGAAAACGTTAAATAGTAGACCCGACGTTAATGACGAAATTCCCATAATTTACAGCGTCTGGACCGATAATGGAAAACGGACCGCAGAATTTGACAGTGTTAGACGGCAAAGATGCAACTCTGAGTTGCAACGCGATCGCGGCGCCTAAGCCGAATGCCACCTGGTATTATAACGGTAATTAAATCGAAGCTAAACTAATTATTAATTATTGTCTTTTAATATTTTGTGTGTGTGTGTGTGTGTGTGTGTGTATGTGTAAAAAACATAAATATGTAATTTAAATTTTAATTTGGTTGTTTTATTTGCGTGATTTTTACAAAATTATTCGTAAGATTAATATATCATTGCAAAGTGCTTCTTCCTCGCACGTTTATATGACGAATGTTTACATTTAATCGCAACAGATACGATACCAGTGGAAATCGCCGGGAGAGTGCAAGTCCTGGACAACGGCGATCTTTTAATCGCGGCGGTGAAACCGTACGACGCGGGAAAATATACTTGCATCCGCGCGAACGAAGCCGGCTCTGTCAACGGATCGGCGTATTTAACTGTTATGGGTAATTATTATTGTGACGAACATTATAAACAAGACTCGAGATAGAAATCAGTTCTTTCGCTCGGTTGCGGATGCGTCGCGCAGTATGTCGTACATCATCTGCATCTGTTACAGTCCGGACTCAAATTATCCAACCACCTGTTGATACGTCCGTGCTTCTCGGGCGTACCGCCGAATTGCAGTGTAAAGTTTCGAATGATCCCAGCGTCCTGTACGATATGGCATGGTTTCACAATGGACAGTACGTATAAGGAGAAATATTATGCAATAACGTCAAGTTAAAGTTTTGAGTTCAGAAATTAATAAATTATTTTTTTCGAAATTTATGATAGTCTTATTTTTTTCTTAAATATTGAATTAAAATCTAATCGACTTAAAATGTTTAAGAATTATTAAACATATATATTTAATATATATTTATATATATCTTATATATGAATGCAGTAAATTTATTGATTAAATTAAATTTTAATTTACGATGCCAGGAAAAGCGATCAAATCCTCTGCAACTCTTCCGACGCTTGAATATCTTAAAGTGTTATACCTAATACATGCTGTATGTTGTTACAGAGTAATAAACACTCAAGCGAGTCAAAGGGTGAAGATGCGATTGGACGGCACTCTCGAGATCGTTACCGTTCGAGCTTCCGACGTGGGCGAGTACACGTGCTCCGTGGAGTCGCCGGGTGGCAACGAAACGCGATCCGCTCGTCTGAGCGTGATCGAATTGCCGTTTCCGCCGATCAACGTCGTGGCCACGCGGGTCGAGAGGATCTCGCCGCGCACGATCAACGTCACATGGGTGCCCGGCTTCGACGGCAACAGCCCCACGAAGAAATTCATAGTCCAGAGACGAGAGGTGTCCGATCTGGGTAAGTGATATTCGAATATAAAAATTTAAGTGTGCTATAAATATAATTAACTACGTATTACTCTGTAAAAGTGAATCAATAGGATCATAACTGATTTTCAGTGTATGTCATTTTCCAGTGGCATATTTACAATTAGAACTGTGATAAACAATGACTGTTTCAATGTTGTTTCAGTGATAGTATACTGATTCAAACAGTGAATATCACTGAAAGACAGTAAATTTCAGTTCTCAGAATTGTTTGACAGTGAAACTCGCTGTCTCTCAGTGATGAGTTGATTCACTTTTAAAGAGTATATATAGTGTTATACTTTTTAATATATATATTTCTTGAATATACATAATTATGAACGTTATTATCATTATGTATGGAAAACAGTCAAATTTTCGATTGAATGCATAAATTGATATATTTTTTATCTCTATACAATACACTTTTAATTTATTTATAATGTATGTTATTATGTTGCAAATAGGGCCTATACACGATCCGATATTAAACTGGGTCACCGAGCGCGATAACGTGTCCGCGACCAGTCGATGGGTATTATTGAATAATTTGAAAGCCGCTGCGTCCTATCAATTTCGTGTCAGCGCCGAAAATAGCGTCGGCGAAGGTCCATCGTCAGCACCCAGCAACATCGTCGTTCTACCCCAAGAACGTGAGTGATTGAGAAAATTAATTAAATGATTTATTTGTTCAATAAGAAATAACAATAATACCTCTGTTGTATTCTTATTAAAATACAGATAAACTTACGGAATGATTTCTGATCACGCATATGACATTGCATTTAATTAATTTTTACTTTTTAGCGCCCAGCGGTTCGCCGATTGGCTTCGTCGGCTCAGCACGTTCGTCGTCGGAAATAATAACGCAATGGCAACCTCCGCTAGAAGAATACCGAAACGGCCATATCTTGGGATATATACTGAGATACGCGCTCTTCGGGTACAACGACAGCCCGTGGACGATGCAAAATATCACCAACGAGGCGCAAAGAAATTATCTCATTACGGATTTAATCACGTGGAAGGACTACGAAGTGCAAATAGCGGCTTTCAACGAAAAGGGCGTGGGTGTATATTCGAAGGGCTTGCAGATAAAAACCAGGGAAGGAGGTAAGTTAACGTTGGAAGTTAGAACATTATTCTAGAATGTTGTAAATCAGCTAAAGCTAAATAACTTGTTTTACAGTCCCGGAAGCGCCTCCCACAAACGTGAAGGCAAAAGCGGTTAATTCAACGGCGGTGAAAGTTTGGTGGAAGCCACCGAATCCTCAAAAGATCAATGGGATTAATCAGGGATACAAATTGCAAGCCTGGATCGACGGTAATTTTACAGATGCGACCGAGTACAAATCGATGACCGTACCGCCGAGTTTGTTCGATCCGCTCGCCGAGCAGAACGCCATTATGACAGGCTTAAAAAAGTACACGCTGTACAATATCACGGTGCTCTGCTTCACCGATCCAGGTGACGGTGAAAGGAGCTTGCCCGTCGAAATTCGCACTCGCGAAGACGGTACGTTCACTTACAATAACTAATTAAGAATTAATAATTATAATGCTATATTTAGAAAGCCGATTTCAATTGAAAGATTATTTTTGGCGTATTTTTTTCGTTGTTTATTGAATAAATAAATAAAAATAAAATTTTGTACTTGTAAACATTATTTATCTTTATATATTTATGATCTGTTGCAGTACCTGAAGAAGTGGAAAACCTACAATTCGAGGATATCAGCGATCGTGCGCTAACAGTGAAGTGGAGTCCTCCCAAAGAGACCAACGGAATATTGACGCATTATCAGTTGAAATACATGATCAAAGAAATTCCGGAGTCTTTGCGCGTCGAAAATTTCACGGCCGACGTATTGTCGATCAAAGTGGAGCATCTTCAGGTAATCGTCGATTTCAAGCAGCAAGAAATATAGTGAAAAATGTTGCAAAAGAGATAACTTAAAGGAATAATTGAATGAGGCTATTGTTCATTTTTGTTTTTTTGTTTTTTTTTTTCTTTAGGCGCTGACCCACTACAAATTTGAAGTGACGGCTTGGACATCGGTTGGATCCGGCAAAGCGAAAGTAGCAACCATACAATCAGGCGTCGAGCCGGTGCTACCGGAACCACCCACGAAGCTAGCGTTATCCAACATAGACGCGTTCTCCATCGTGTTGCAGTTCACGCCAGGATTCGACGGAAACTCGTCCATCACGAAGTGGACAGTGCAGGTTGGTCAAGCAATAATTAATGCTCCGTTTAAAAGAGTCGAAATTACAATATTGCATTGTTTTATTATCTCTTAGCTCTTCTAACAATAAGTTCGATATCTGAAAGTATCACGTAAAAATATTGATTTATTCTTAAGACATTATACGATCGGCAAGATTCGGCATACGATGGAATAATAACGCGATAGATAAAAGACAGAAATTAAATCGGAAAAAAGTAATATGCGAGATCAATTGTCGATTTTCTAGGCACAAACGGCGCGAAACTCGACGTGGTACACTATCTACGAGGTGTCCGATCCCGACGCCAGTACGATCACCGTCGACGGTTTGACTCCCTTCATGCAATACAAGCTCCGTTTGATCGCGAACAACGTAGTCGGCGCCTCGCAGCCCTCCGAGCCGACCAAAGAGTTCCAGACGATTCAGGCACCACCCTCTCATCCCCCGAAAAATGTCACGGTCCGCGCGATGAGTGCCACCGAGTTACGCGTTAGGTGGATCGTAAGTATCTGATCGTTATGTGACAAATATAATTTTTATATTAACCCTCCGTGCACTAGATGGGGTGTGACGTAAGCAAAATTTAAACTGCTTAAATTTAGTTCGTAAGAAATAGTATTATTTTTGTTTTCTTGTTTTAAAAGATTAAAGAGTTTATTATTTTGTTTGATTCTTATATTTTAAGGAATAAGAATCGATATTATGACAGTCGAAATTATTAAATTACTATATTTAAAGTGAAGTAATGACATGAGGTAAATGTGAAACACCCCACACGGTTCAGCACGTTGATTTTCTCCACCTGGTGCACAGAGAGTTAATCACCGCTATTAAAAATATCGATTAAAAATATTATAATTATATACTATAAAAATTATATATATTATATAATGTAAGAGTTATATTATCTTCTGCGTAGCCATTGCAGCAAATAGAATGGTACGGAAATCCGCGGGGATACAATGTCACTTATACGGAAGTACGAACGAACATCTCGAAGAGCAGTATTATCGAGGATCACACCGCGAACTCATATGTATTGGAAAATATGGAGGAGTACGCCGATTATGAAATAGTGATGCAAGCGTTCAACGACGTCGGCTCTTCGGCGGCGAGTCCGAAGGCCATTGAACGAACTCGTGAGTCGGGTGAGTCCTTCGTATTGTACATAATTGAACGCAGTTAGAAAGGAAACAACTCCAAAATGCAGATTTTCAGATACAGCTATTTTAGAAATACGTTAGTTGTTTAATGTGCATTGATTTTTGATAATTGATTTGACATTAGTGTAATTATTTTATATTGCTGAAGCTCAAACATTTGTGAAAATACAACATAAAGTTATCTTTAAATATTTTTTCACACAATTTCCCAAAACTTGCAAAGATATATGCAAAGACATTTACATGCATTGAAAACGTGACATCTTTCAGTTCCTTCCCTGGGGCCGATTAACGTAGAGGCAAACGCGACGTCCTCTACGACTATCCTGGTGCGATGGGGCGACGTGCCCGAGGAACATCAGAACGGGCAGATCGAAGGCTTCAAGGTGTACTACGGCGCGAACTCCAGATCGACCTTCCAGTACAAGAATATTCCCAGCAACACCACTTTCACGACCACCTTAACGGAGCTTCGCAAGTACGTCCAGTACCACGTGCAAGTTTTAGCCTACACGAGACTCGGCGATGGAGCGCTGAGCGTCCCACCTGTTAGAGTCCAGACTTTCGAAGACAGTAAGTCATTATTTATTGCAATTGAATCTTTGCTAACAAAAGCAACGATGTGCGCGACATAGATTATTATTTTAATAATATATATAATTAAAATATCATACATTAAACGTATTGTTTTGTATACGTGTGAAATGCAACATATAGTAAAACTAAAAATATTAAGATTCCATGACATTTCTATATTCTGTTTTGTATCGCAGCTCCTGGTCCACCGTCTAATGTATCCTTCCCCGACGTGAGCTTGACCACCGCGCGCATTATCTGGGACACACCAGAGGATCCCAACGGAGAGATCCTCGCGTACAAAGTCATGTTTCATTTGAACAACAGTCAAGATCGCCAATTTTCTAAAGAATTCCCGGCATCGGACAGAACATTCAGGTACAAATATTTTTTTTCCTACTCACCTACCCTTACTAAAATCTTATAAATTTAAAATTTGAATAAAAATCTAAAATTTCCATATTTTAAGAATAAAAGATTATTTTAGAATTGCATATATCGGCCAAAGAGATAAAGCTCTTGAATTAAATATCGCGATAATTGCCGCTTGCAGAGCCACCGGACTCGAGTCCGAGAAGTATTACATGTTCTCCGTGACGGCGCAGACGAGATTGGGTTGGGGCAAGACGGCCTACGCGCTCGTATTTACCACGAACAATAGGGAACGTCCTCAAGCGCCGTCGGTGCCGCAAGTGAGCAAGTCGCAGATCCAAAGTCGCCAGATAACGTTTAGCTGGACGCCAGGCAGAGACGGCTTTGCACCGTTAAGGTACCAACATCTCTCTCGCGGATCGACCTGTTCTTATGTTTGTGGAACTATATATATCAATCCCTCTTTTTGATCCGACAGGTATTACACAGTGCAACAGTCGGAAAATTCCGGACCGTTCCAAATCATCCCCGAGAGAGTGGAGCCCACTCTGACGTCGTACACGGCTAACAACTTGAAGCCTTACACGCACTACCAGTTCCGCATTCAGGCTACCAACGACATAGGGCCGTCAGAGTGGAGCAACGAGTCCGCTCAGGTGCAGACTCTACCTGCAGGTGTGTATCGAGAGATAAAACGAGACATTCAATAAAATATTGAAAAGAAAAGGTTTATTTTAAAAATTGAAAAGAAAACGAGAGAAAATGAAAATTGTGAAGTTTTTCCTCGGAATTTTTTAAATCTCTTGCCGCTTTCTTCCGACCTGAATTTCTCGTCGACATTGACAAAAATATTACATCTTTTGCAGCGCCGTCGAAGGGTGTCACCGGTCTGAAAGTTGTACCGATAACAACATCCAGCGTCGAGGTTCATTGGAACATGATCGACGAGGTGTATTGGAGCGGCGATTACGGGACGGGTGGTTATCGTGTCGTTTATCAGCCGGTCTCGGACTTCCCGACACCTCTTCAGGCAACGCCGAAACAAGAGATTTTGGGAATTAATGTACGTGTATAACACACACTTGAAACGTAGATGTCTCTTCCTCAAAATGTCAATTTAAGTTGTATAATGTAGTATTGAGATCGATTGCATGCAATATTTTATTCGGTTTTATTAATTAATATAAAATTTGCACTCGTTGCAGGAAACTAAAATGGTTTTAAGCGACTTGACGGAGGACCGATATTATGAGATTGTGGTGCTGCCATTTAATTCGGAAGGCGAGGGCCCGCCGAGTCCACCGGTCACCGTGTACGTGGGCGAGGCGGTTCCTACGGGGGAGCCCCAAAATCTGATAGTCGAGTCCATCTCTTCCACCGAAGTCAGTTTGCAGTGGAAACCTCCGCAGGCCAATATGCAAAATGGCGATTTACAAGGATATAGGGTAATAATTATTCACTCAATTACATTAATAATAGAATGTCAGTATATCCTGTGTGTCATACTTTTATTTTACAAACTCAATAGTAGATAATCGCGGCAAATTTTTAGATTTCGATTCTGCGTATTCAATATCAAATTAATTGCTGTAAATTTATACAGTTTTATTAAGTTATTAATTCTACGTGTTTATTATAACAGTTATTTCCGTTTTTATCGCAGATTTTCTATTTGGTGACCGACTCTCCCCAGGAACTAGAGAAAAAGCAGGAAGAGGAGATAGAAGTCGTTCCAGCGTCTTGCTTGGCGCACAATTTAGTTTTTCTTGACAAGTATACGGAATATCGTATACAAGTTTTAGCGTTTAATCCGGCCGGAGATGGCCCACGATCTCCGCCAATTACCGTGAGAACGAAACAGGTAATTTCCTGTAGACATTACGTGGTAAATGTTCCACGAACGATTCGATATCTAATGAAAAAAAAACGCATATTTTGAAACGGTATTCAAACTCTGGGACACAATGTAATTGCAGGACATACCAGGACCACCGCATCATTTACAGTTTAACGAAATTACCATGACCAGCTTGCGCGTCTCTTGGGAGCCGCCGAAGTTACGCAATGGCGAGATAGTTGGTTACATCGTCATGTATGAAACGGCAGAGCAAAACGACCGTAAGACAAATTAATATAAATAATCTCTATAAATCTCTATAAAAAGATCACAACATTTATTTAACATTGAGAATTTAATTTTACGATTTTTATTTATCTTTTCATGGATCATTATTAATTTTTAATCACCAGAACGTTGCGCTTTAATTATAACATATTCAAAAAATTCTATATATTCTTTATAAATAAATACGTTAATTTTATTTCGAGAAAAATTTATACATATAATATTTGACTTTGCAAAGCTGTACGATATATTTAATTTTTTTTTTTTTTTGCTAATTTACCGACATTTCTGTTTAAGGTTTCACTAAACATGTTACGCAAAAAGTGACGGAGACGAGTCTCCTTATCCAGCCGCTGGAGGAGGAGGTGACGTATACCTTCATGGTTCGCGCGCAGACGATCGACTTCGGACCGCCGATATCCGGCAATGTTACGACTGGTCCGCAGGAGGGTTCGCCAATGGCGCCCAGCAATCTCGGCGTGACCAGGACGGTCTCCAGCGTGGAACTGGAGTGGACCAACGGGGCTTCCGGCAAGGGTCCTTTACTCGGTTATTATATCGAGACTCGTCGCAAAGGTAAATACACGATCTTTTCACGCGATCTCGTCGTTACATAGCGGAACTTGAAAAAAAAACCTGTTACGGCACTTATTCAAAATTCTATCATTAAGTTATTGTTTATCGAACTTGCAACGGCAGAAAATTAAAAAAAAAAAGTAATTTCTATTATATCGTAACTATAAATTTACGAAATCGAATTTTGATCGCTTCACGAGAATTTGTTGGCGTTGCAATTTCACGAAACTACACAATATAAAACTATAAAGTTATTTATGTAGAATAAATTCCGCGTAATATCGTCATATATTATTTCACTATCGTCGCCCGACTCGACTATCGGTTCTGCTAACACTAATATCGTCTTTTTTATAACTGTATAGCGATGGAAGAATGGCAGCATTGTAAGTGTCAACGCACGTAACTACGCTGAGCGTCAGTCATTTGCATTAGATGGTTTTGATAGTGAGACCTCCCCCCCGTTAGCGCAATACAATATCGCTTTTGATAAGTCCGTTGTACATTACTATATACGTGTACTGTACGTGCCGTGGTCGTTTGATATTCCCAATAATTTGCATGATAAAACGTCATAGCATGACATCGCCAGAAACCCACTTTATACGTTCGAGCAGGGTTTTTACTGAAGATACATAACTTCGTGTAATGCTGTAACAATTGTGTATACCGTCCCGACAAAGAAACGATCCAGTAATTGATTATACTAGCGTGATGATTTGTTGTATTGTCCGTAAGGTAACGCCAGAGTTTTTGTTATTTAGCCTCTCCCCCGCCCCCCGCCAAAACCTCGCATTTAATCTCGTTCTTTTAACACTTTGCGCGCAAACGCGTGTACCGCACGCGCGGCATTTCCCATATGTCATATATATATAATATCAAAACGAAGAGTAATCGTGTTTACTCTTCAGAGAATCTCGCGCAGAAAGCGACCGGCACTCAAAGTGTTAAAATAGTCACCAAACTAATACGAGCTCCTATCCATTTGTTATACATAATGTCTCATTTCTATCGCATTATTTTTTGACGATATGTTCTTTGGCTAAAATTTAAAACTCTTCTTTAATGCAACATCTACAATAGGACTTAAGACTTTAAGAAATTTAAGAAAATTAACCAATCAATCGATTAATCTCATGTGAGAAAAATAATCGATTGCGATTCGTTAATTTTCTTAAATCTTAAGTCCTATTTTGTAGACACCGCTTAAGAAAAATATCAGGACTAAGTATTATTGAGTGATTAACGATTGTAGTAAATGGAGAATTTCTGGTGAAGAAAAAGAATGAACAATTAAAAGTTACATCTTTTAGTTAGTATTAAAAAAATATATATATATTAATTTTTTATTGTAATAAATTATATAAAGTTGATATCCTACAGAATTTTATTTATGATTAATTAATGGAATATGTAATATTATTAATATGCAATTTCAAGTAAAAGTCGACTCCAATCTGGTCAAAGAATCTGATACTGAAAAATTTTGTCGCTCAAGTGGGACATTCCGTATAAAAAGATTTGATTATATTATACATAAGCGTATCTAAACAAAACAACGGTTTTTCCTTTAGGAAATGCCTGCTACAATTCAAAGATTTTAACGCAATTTGTGTATGTAATTGTAGACGATTCGCGCTGGCAGACAATAATTCGTACTAGCAACGGACCACTGACGGAGTATACCGTGTCTTATCAGAACTTACTGCCGTCCACATCGTATTTGTTCAGAGTGATATCGTACAATCGTTACGGGATCAGTTATCCAGCGTATTCCAGCGAAACGGTAAGTCTACTGGTTAAAGAGAAATGATTATTCATTTAGACACATTAAATTTACTTGTTTTAATATTTATTATTTTGATATATTTTTTATATATTTATTTATTTCGGAGACAAAATCTCTCTCTTTCTATTACGAATTAGCACGTTTTACGAACGGAATTACCTTTTCAGATTTTGACGCCGTCGAAACTGTACCTGGAATACGCATACCTACAACACAAGCCGTTTTACAGGCGGACTTGGTTCATGGTTACTTTAGCCGCTATATCAATTATAATTATCATTACGGTCATAGCAATATTAGTAGTGAAGAGTAAAAGCTATAAATATAAACGTAAGTTGAGTTTTAATATACGTGCATATATAAAGTGATTTTCAATTATGAAAAATTAAATCATGCTAGTAGAATTTATCTAATATATAATTTGATACCTACGCGATTTATATTATATTGCTAAAAAGATTTATATTTTATATTATAATAATAATAATTGCAGAAGAGGCGCAAAAGACTCTGGAGGAGTCGATGGCGATAGACGCGGACGACAGGCAGGAATCCGATCTGGAATTGTACAGATCGCGTCAGGGCGGTTCCGTTAACGTGGCCAGCGGCACTCTGGGCAAGAGGAGTACGTTGGCCCGGAAGGCGATGCATCCTCCGCCACCGACGATGCTGGGCAAATCGCCGCCCAGACCGTCTCCAGCGTCGGTCGCCTACCACAGCGACGAGGAGAGCCTCAAGGGATACGATGAGAATCCCGACGACAGCAGCGTCACGGAGAAGCCCTCCGAAATTAGTTCCACCGATTCGCAGGTAAGTACGATTCTTCGCAAAATAGTAGGACAACGCGCGTCTCTGACAAAGAAGAAAAGAGTAGAGGATTATCTCAATCCGGCTGTTATTCCGCAGGGTTCCGAGAGCGAGAACGAGAGTGTGCAGTCCGATCCGCATTCCTTCGTGAATCACTACGCGAACGTGAACGACTCGCTGAGGCAGTCGTGGAAGCGGCAAAAACCCGTCCGGAACTATTCGTCGTACACGGACTCCGAGCCGGAGGGCAGCGCGGTCGTCAGCCTGAACGGCGGTCAGATTATCATGAACAACATGGCAAGATCGAGAGCGCCGCTGCCCGGTTTCTCGTCGTTCGTGTAATTAAAAAACGAATTGTCGAGACTGCGCGTTGACACACCGAGTTTCTCTTTTTTTATTCATATATATCAAAATTTACCATCGCAGCCACCACTTTGCTTTGAGCGAAGTCTTTTTTTTTATACATATAAATATATATAGAGCGAAAGACTTACGCCAGGAACACGCGTGTGTTTTGCGCGCGTGCTGACGGGCATAGACTTGTAGCAAACTATATAGGAAGCTTGAGGCATCTTCGTATATTGTGATATATTGATACATATATTATTTATAATTCTTCGATAAGGCACTTTGCATTTAATAGATACTTTTGTACTTTTCTCGAATTAGCTTAAGGGTCAAACAGCATATGGATCTCGTGCGAAAATTTCACAAATTTCGTGCCTGTGCAGAGCAGAGGGAGCGTAAAAGTTCAAGTATCATTCTTTTTTTTTTCGACAGATATTTCGGCCTTCATCTTTCTATCTCTCAGGTACACGATTACACGCATAATTCAGTCCTGAGGATCTTGTATTTTTTTTTAAAGGTATTTATCGCGGACGTATTTTTAAACGGACAATCGCATTCGCGATGTCGCAGATTTTTTCGAAGTTTTCCAACAAAAAAAAATATCAGACTTAACGTGTTGCAATCGCGTTGGCCTATCATATCATTTTATCAATCCACTAGAGACATTAATGAAGATCGCGAGTTGTGGGACGACACTGTGTAAATCCGCTCTTAACGCTGGCGTACTTGCGCGTCAGGTGTGCGTGTAAATATGTTATATACTTCCCGTAAGAATGTAGATTTTGTATAATGCTGCTAACCACACGCTATTCAGCGGGCTATATCTATCGCATTCGCGTCTTGTGATATACAGTAAAAGCTCCATATTCGCGGGACGTACATTTTGCTGAATCGTCATGAATCGCGATTCTGTAAGATAAAATATGTGCAGGAAGAGTAAAATTTAGTATTAAAAAAAAAATACACATATAACATAAAATATTGATAATTTTATAATTTATATATATTTATATTCGCATAAGTGTACGTACATATATTTTTTACTTTTCATACATCTTTCCTGATTCATTTTATTTTAAAATAAAAATTACTTCTTGGAGCTATTAAGAAATCCTTTTTTTTTATCATTTGTCACTGCAATAAGCGAGATTGTCTTAGGCCCGTGAAAATAGGAAATATATAATGTATATGGAGCTTTTATCGTACATAGATATATCATAGTTGAGACACAGTATTCATATCTTCTTAAACATTCTCGTTTTACTAAACGTACGTCCGAAGTCGGGGTATCGAACGGAACTGCGACGATTGCATGTCAAATTTATTGTATAACTGCGCGAATAATGAAACTTCATTAGAAAGACGGCTAGAAAAGAAGGATAGAGAGACGCCTAATCTAATTAGTAATTACGAAGTAAGACTATTACCGATTCGTATTATACATAGGGTTATTCGTTTTACGCGAGGCTCGCTATAAGTATTTAGATATAATTTTATTACTTCTTTTTTTTTTTAAAGAAAGTTCTACGAAACGTCGCGCGAGATGCAGCGAATCCTCTTTCGGGAAAACGTTTTCCACAGAAACCCTTCGACGCTTCCGCGACACTGCCAGTGAACGTTTTAGTGCAAATCTTAATTTTATTTATATATACTTCCACGCGTGTATTTTATAACGACGTAAAAAAAAGCGGCATAAAAATCAACTGTAATTATCATTCGTACATATATCTACACCGAGAGAAAATCTGTTAATCTTTTAATAAAAATTTATGCCATTTTGGAAAATTTTTCCTATAACAAGTCAATTTACTTACCAACTTGGAATTGCTACGTAAAAAAGTTAATATTTAGCTAAAATTTTTATACATAGTTCTCTACATTACTAGTTAATTTAATTTTTTATCGATTTACGTATTGCCGGCGAAGCCAGGTATTCCTGTATCTCAAGGACATGCGTATAAAGTATAAATCAATAACGCGCTTTTATGAATGGAAAACAATATATATTCATATCCATTTAATAATTAACATATCAAAGTTTTTTTTACAAAGGAGAAATAACTTATTTATCATGACTTATCAGTCGGTCAGTTTTCTCTATAAAAGCACTCTCGCATTGTGCGAACCAGTTGCGAAGAACCGGCGGTAGGTCGGTCTTGTTGAATTGTTTAATTAGAGACCACACTGCAATGTCTACAATATTGAATCCACCCTTGCAGGACCATTTGTCAAATTCATCGGCTAGTGCAATCAATCCCTCATTTATACACTTTTGACTGTGTAAGAAATTGGCGAAGTCAAGCGCGAAGTCTAGTGTCTGCGGTTGCGAGCACGTGCTCTCGTAATTGCGCGACTCTATCAACCTACTCACTAATCTAAGGAAATTGACTTCGCCTCTTATGGGACAGGAGCGCATGTTTACGACGGTTTCCATGTCCGAGACTGAAAGAAAGGGATTCAATGAAATATAAAGTACTTAAATCGTTAAAGAAATGTTTGCTAACAAGATGAACGATTAGAGAGTGATAAAAAGTTTTATTGTAGGAAAAACTTTTTCCAAAAATTTCAATGCATCCTGGATTATATTAACGAAATAAATGATTATAAGAGTGTATTTTTTGTTTAAGATTGATGAGGAGATCGATTGTGTCTTACCTTCTTTCCATATCAATGTCAATTCTATGACATTTATAGAGGATCTAACAGTTTTAGGAAAAACTATAGATATTTGGTCCTTCAAAGTAGAATGAGTATACGATGTCACTTCAATGTTTGTGTCTCTCCAAAGTTTCTGCAAAGCGAGTATCGAATACGGCGGCTTTCTCGGATTTGCGTGCACCACTAGTTTGACGACAACTGGTTTCTGTAAATACACAATCTCTAATTTGGTCTCTCATCTTTCGACAATTAAATGGAAAAGCAATTTTATCATAAATGACAGAGCGATTAAGTCTGCAAGTGCTAATTAAGTGTAAAGCATTTGGCAATTAATGCATCAATTGCTAACCTGAACTGGTGCAATATTTTTCGCACCCTCCACATGATTAGGCTGTTTCAAGAAATGGCACAGTGTAGAAACTTGCTTTTTGAGTTCCGCCAGTTGGCTAAGAATTCTCTCTTGCCTAGCTTCCAGCGCCTCGTATTCCGGCAAAGACGCCTAGAAAGATCAATTAATTGTTACACAATATTCTGCGTATTGTTCTACATCGTGCAAAAATATTTATTCGACAATATTAGAATCGAGCATTCACAATATGTATGTATAAACGCTTAAGAAAATTAACATTACATCCCGATGAATTTGGGAAATGTGTTACAATATATGTGGAAAACATAGCAAATACAATTGAGTTTACATATCAATATTCGTGATATTTGCAAGTTTGATGATAGTAATATGAACATGCATGTAAAATCTATTGGAGGACTTGTAGGATGTTGAAAAAAATATTGTTAAGAAAAATTTGAATGCCCTGTACTAAATATGTAAAAGGTACACACAAACATTATTCTAGATTTGGACATACGTACAATGTTTGACTGTAACATTAATATGGGTAAAATCTAAAAGATTATTTCTTGGATCACATTTAGGGATATGCTGGACAGAAATGTCATACAGCAGATGTCAAAGAAATAAGTCTATAGTTTTACGTAAAATGAACAGCTAAAGCATAACAATATAACACAAATATTCTATCTCTACACAACCTAGATATGTAATCGAAGAAATACTTTCAGCAATCTTATCTCAAACGCAATATTAAAGTAGGCATAATGGCTAAGTTACTCTACACTAATTCATCATGCTACTGAAATTTCTGATAGGCAAATACAATTACGTAGCCAGTGTAAAATCTGATAAAAAATATGCCATCGCGTGCGAGGTATTTAAACGGCGAACAACAAGTTTCCACACTCCAGACCAAGTCAAGTACGAGGTAATGCATAATGACGGATTAACCCTCGTTATTTCTCGGCGCGGCTCTTTCCGAAACCTACGTCGGTCCTTCCCGTCCCGTTTCTGGCGAATAAATAATTATGACAGTCGCGACGATCGGGAATCGGCGCGTCTCCTCGTCCGCGTTAAGTCAAAATAGTCCGCACCGCCGCGAAATATCATCCCGCGCTCCCTCGGCCAAGCGTTCCGCACGTCCCATACATGGCATACGCGTATTTCGATCGGCGTGCCTTCCTCCTGCCCCACGGGGCCAACTTCCGCGAGGGCACGCCGACATTTCCCCGAGTCACTCGAAAAAGCGATCCCCAGGAGGGCGGGGGGAGGAGGGGAGGAGACACATCGATCAAGTCGCCACGAGGCAGAGAGAGAGAAGGAGAGACAGAGAGAGAGAGAGAGAACCATCGGGCACGTCACCGCTCCGCTCTCCCGGTCGATTGCGGATCAGTGCGCTCGCGGAAATTTTCGGGAACGAGTCATCATGTCCCGCTCGTTCGCGCGATCGCGAGTTATCGCGACCGCGATCGCCGGCCGCCGTCGTCGTCGTCGTCGCCGCGGCCACGCGCGCGCGATCACGCGGAGCGGATACGTCGGCCGCGGGCGGAAACGAAACGGAAACCTGCAGAAGGCGGATAACCTGCGATTCAACGGCGTCGTCGGGCATCTTGGCTTCTTCGGTGTTGGCGGCATCGTCGCGATGGCAGGGCCGGGCGCGGGTGTCCTCGTGCATATTTCGTATCCTGTGCATGGAGCTCGAGTGCGGAAAGTCCGCGGGTAGGACGAACACCGGTGGCAGCCGGTACATACTACTGCTCGTCGACGTCGCCATCGTCGCGCGATCACTCATCCCGCGAGAGCGTGGAGGAGAGAAAACTTCCAATTCGCGCACGTCAAGTCGAAAAATCTCCGCGTCCCGATCGTCCCATGCCCCGTCCGCCTCTCGCACGCGCTCGTACTCGCGCACTCTCGTGGCCGGCCCGGCCGCCGGCGCCTCGCCTCGCTCCTCGACCCCCTCGGCCGCGTTTCCGCGCGCGCGGTGTCATGGCGACGTGTCGCGCGCCGCCAGATGGCGGATCCCCTCCTCCCCGTCGGTAACCTCAATCTCGTCCGTTCATTGATAATATTACGTCTTATATATTTTTAATCTCTCATGTGGGTCGCGATAGCGAACTTGGTTTCTTTGCCGTCCGGTCGTTCCCTTAACGAGAATTTTTTTTTTCGTATCTTCCTAATTATTAATTACGAAAGCTTTTTCCTTATGAAAATTTAATACTGAAAAAGCCAAAATAATTACTTTATTAAATATTAAAAACATTGTTTTTTTCAAAGAATGCTTTTAATATTTATAATGTTATTTAAAACGACCCAGATAACAAGATATTTCCACGGTATTGGTACGGTGAGCGTACGTTGTACTATGCGTACCAGTATCGTACCTACCACGTACGTGCGTACTGTTGGGATACATTACCAGTACACCGTACTATTGGTACACGATACGGCTATCGTACTGTAAATTTGAAATAAGGTTATGATTGTCATTTACATTATATCCAAATAGGACAAAAATAATTAAAATAATTACAATTAAATGAACATTTATAAAATTAGAATAAAAACGGGGCAATTACAAATTTAAAAAAAATTCACGATGATATATACATGTTCTTAAGGGGATATATATATCTGTCAACCTATAATATCTGCAACGGTCACCCATCCAAGCCATGACCGCCACCAACATTGCTTAACCTGAAATAATCTCTGTAATTGGGAACTGCACGACACTTCATGATGATATTTATAATTTACACTCCAATGGATTATACACATTGATCGTGATAGATATATCTTATTAATAAATTATCAAAAAGATGAAATATATATTTTTATAAATATTAACATTGAATAACATAATCAATAATGAAAATAATGATAATAAAATATAAATAAGTACATCAAAACTATAAAACTGAACTAGAGCAACGATCTGGCAGTTAAAGGCGATCGGATATAGCATCTCGTACTAAATTATGCACAATTTTTTTGCGTATGTTTTTTACTATTTTTATAGAAAAACTATCCAAATATTAATTATTTTACATATTTCTTGGTTATAGGAGCAAAATATAATAAAATATTTTATTAAACAATATGCAGTACAGGTACAGTGATGATACGCTGTACTGCTTGTATCATAATATCATGTATACTTTTTGTACTGTTACCGTACAGTTACGCCGTACGCCGCCATCTCGTGGCAGTATAATACCAGTATACGATAGTAGTATTTTGTGCGGTATCGCACGCTTGGTTATCTGGGGAGTATAATTACTTTGGCCCTTCCAATATTGAAATTTTTGCTACAGTTACCAATCGAATCGAGACCTGCGCAAGGAGATTCGAATCTCGGGAGAGCAGATGGCGCGACAGGAGTGGCTGGCACGGCGAGCTCGCAGTTAGCACGAGTCGTTTCGCGCGAGAGCGAGGTAGAATGAGAGAGAGGAACGAGATCCACGCGATTTCGCGTCGCCGAGAGAATCGACGTTGAAGCAGCTTGAGCACGCGAGAAGGCAGAGATTGCGAGAGCGCGATCGCGAGGACGGTCATCGATCGAGAAAACGTGCAAAATGGCGGCGCCGCGTCGTCGGTAGTGTCCTCTGGCAACGAGTCCTCGCGAGCGCATATCCGAGATCCGGGACTCGTGTCCTCCGGGAGAACATCGGCGAGAGTGAACGCGCGCGAGACAGGCGGATCGGGTCGCTCGTGACATCGCGATCGGCGTCGCTCGCCCATCGTCGTCGAATCTCTTCCGCCGAGTGCGCGTCTCGCGCGGAGAATTCCGCACTCGAGCCGCTGGATTGCGGTTAGATTTGCGTTTTTTTTCTCTTTTTCGAACACGCGCGTGCCGCCATCTATCCGCGTACGTCGATCTTGACAGGAGCCCAGCGGGAGCAGGAAGATACGGTGGAGGCGATTGGAGCTCGCGGGCGTCTCGGCTGAATCGAGCGAGTTTGTGCGATCGGACGTCGTGGGCGCCGCGACACGCGCCGCCCGCGTGATCGAGCACGTCCCGCGGGACCCGTGGACCGTCGCGATCGCGCGAGACGCGGCACGACGGCCGCCCGGTCGTCCTTTTCATCATAGCTGGCCCGAGTACGGCCGACATGGCGGCGCGACGATGAGCCAATCGCAGCGCCGCTCTCTCGCGCCGCTCCGCCATTCAACGACGACAACGACGACTCCATTCGCCGCCGCCGACATTACCACCACCACCACCGCCGCCGCCGCCAGCAGCGCGCAGCTAGAGACCCCCTTCTGGCGTAATTCGCGTCGCCGATCTCGCTATCTCGAATTTGGCGAGTGCCTTTTTTCGCGTTACGGACGGTGCGGCGAACGAAGTACGGCACGCATGCGGGAGTGACGGACGCGGGTGACGTGCACGCCACCGCCGGGAGCATCGCGTCGCGGGCGATTGTGTTTGGTCACGTGACCCGCGCGAAACCGACCGTGGGCCGTGAGAAATGGCGCAAAGATCAGAGTGCATCAGGCATCATGGATGGGACCAGCTCGTTGCCGCGGCGATGTCACTTGTGTTTGTTTACAAGCGTGCGAGCACGCGCGCCACGTGCTGAGTGAGGAGAGGCGAGACCGAGGGAGAGGAGAGGAGAGAGAGAGGAGTGCTGGGTGAGAGACGAAAAGAGGTGGCGGGCGGACGACGGGAGCGGTAGGAGGGAAGGCTAGAACACAGGCGCAGGTAGTAGGTCCCGTCGCGGCCAGTCTCCCCCCCTCGCGTGGGAGACCCTCTCCCGTGCTCCGGAAGAGGCAAAAAAACGTGGTTGGACGAAACGCCGGTGCCGGCGGCGACGACGACAACGACGACGTAACGAAAGGACCACGGCGACGCACGACAATAATGACGGGCAGAGGCTCGAAGAGGCGGGGGCGCCCGCCCAAGTCCGTGGTGATGGAGCGGCCGAAGAAGTTCCAGTATCACCTGATGAAGAAGCCCAAGTACCTGCAAAACAGGACGGTGACGCTCGGCACCGAGACGCCGGGCTCGCAGCCGAGCACGCCGACGGCGTCCCGGCCGACCTCGCCGTCGGTCGAGAGCGAGGAGAGCAGCAAGCGCAGCACGAGGAACCAGCGTAAGTCGCGCAGCGGCCGCGACCGGCACTCCCGCAAGGGCGGTCACTCCGGAGCCACAGGTGGTGCCTATCAGCGTCGCGGCTACAATCCCAACGTGGACTACCACGACTCCGAGTATCACTATGGCTCCGACTTTGGCGACGAGTCCAGCGAGAAGAGCGAGCCGGAGGAGGAGCCATTGCCGAGCGACGTGGACACCTCTGAGAGCATCGAGGAGCCCGATCCCTCGAGCGACAGCGACTTCTCGCTGTCCAGTTTCAGTAATACCAGCGGCACACCCAGGAAAACGCTGCTCGCCCAACAACGGCCGCCCAGTCCGGAGCCGTTGTGGCTGCAGAACAGGGAGTTGCAGCCGTTAGTGTTACCCAAGTCCTCGGACGATCTGTTGGTCCCCAAAGAACTGGTCATGCCGTCGCTCTCCATCTACGAGGTGCTCAGGCACTTTCGCACCCTGGTACGCCTATCCTCCTTCCGATTCGAGGACTTTTGCGCCGCGCTCATGTGCGAGGATCAAACCAATTTACTGGCAGAGATTCACATAATGCTGATCAAGGCGCTGCTGCGCGAGGAGGACTCGCAGCAGACGCATTTCGGTCCACTGGACCAAAAGGATTCGGTGAACGTTAGCTTGTACTTCGTGGACTCTATGACATGGCCGGAGGTGCTGCGTTCTTATGTGGAGAGTGATAAGAGTTTTGATCAGAACATTTTACATATTTTAACCACTACTGAATATCCTTTTACTGCCATCGAGGATAGAATCAAGGTCCTACAATTTTTAACAGATCAATTCTTAATAACAAACCCTGTGAGAGAAGATCTATTGCATGAAGGTACAAAAAAAAATATATTTTCTTGTATAAATAATGTTTTATATGCTGTAGCTTTTTTGTATATACAATGTAGCACATATAGTATATCCTTTTAGCATGATTGCATTCAAAATCAGCAAAGGAAAGTTTACTGTGTCTTTGCTGATATATTAATTACTTATAGTAATAACAGATATTAATTTAATTAAATGTGAAACTAAGCATAAACTTGATGCTTATGTTCAATATATATATATATTATATATATACATATATATATGTGTATGTATGTATGTATGTATCTGTATGTATAAAATTCTGGATATTTAATAAGTCTGATATGATTTAGATACTTCTAACAAGAATATACTTATTATAGAAATATTTGTGCGTTTGAAATTTTTTATTTTATAACAATTTCTTTTCATAAAATTTTATAATTTGAAAAAAATTAATTTTTTGCTTCTACAATTATTGAAATCTTGAATGATTATTAAAGTTAATTGTTTAAGTTAATTCTAAAGTCTTGCAACGACAAAGAATGCTTTATCGAGAGAGAATATGGAATGGACATCTGTGTTTTGCAGGAACTATGCACTATGATGATCACTGCAGAGTATGCCATCGACTAGGAGATCTATTGTGTTGTGAGACTTGCCCAGCTGTATTTCATTTAGAGTGTGTAGAACCGCCTCTGGTCGATGTTCCTACTGAAGATTGGCAGTGTAGCACATGTAAAGCCCACAAAGTGATGGGTGTCGTGGATTGTATTCCCGATGTCGAAAAGAACGGGTCTTTATGTAGACAAGAGCATTTAGGATTCGACAGACATGGCAGAAAATATTGGTTTCTTGCAAGGAGAGTTTTTATGTAAGAGACACATATTAATGTATCTGCATGTCTAATTACGATTTTAATTCCATTAAAATTTCAATTGATCACTTATTTGCATTTATACGACGTAATTTATATCTTATGATAAGTTGAATTTCTGTATCTTGTAAAAGAAATATTTCTAGAATTTTCTGAGATTACGAGATCATGTTTTCAATCAGAAATTATAAAATCTCTTGCGAAATATGCAACAAGTCTGGAGTGGCAAAACTTCTACGTTTTATACGTAAATAATTTTTACATTTTTATTGTGGTTTTATTTTCCAGTGAAAGCGAAGACGGCGAGGTGTGGTATTATAGTTTAGCTTTGCAATTAGAAGAGCTGATGCTTGGGTTAGATCAAAATGAAATGGAAGTAGCGCTTTATCGCGAACTATCGGATTACAAGGAGGAAATGGTCCGTCAAATGGAGCTCACGGAGACTATCACTAATCAATTCAAAGGAAACAAGAAGTCGTATTTGGAAATAGAAAACAGTAAGATCAATCTTCCTTAATTAATCAGCTTTTGAATCTCTGTCGATTTACAATGGGATGTCAGAGTTTCTGTCTATTAAACAATATTTTTAAGAAAATAATCGTCTATTGAAATATTTTTTTAGATCTTATACAAAAGATGCAAAAGGAACGACAAGAGAAACTGGAGAAAGAGGAGGAGCAGAAGAAGGAAAAGGAGAGACAGGAAGCGGAGGAAATGATACGCAAGATGCATGAGGGTACAGACGCTCCGAACGAGCGTACGTCAGCGGTGACGGAGCAGGGTGAAACAAAGACATCCGGTGATAAGTCGACTTCAGCTGCACAAGTACCTGAGGCGGTCGGCGAAACTGTCGTGGTCGACGCCGAGGCGTCGTCTACCGCGACGAATACGGACAAAGCTACGAAAACTAACGCCTCCACGTCATCATCTGAAGATCTTGACGAAGAGACGCTAGAGGGAGAGGAGAAAATTGGAAAAGATGGTGAGTTTTAGAAGAAATTGAATTTCATAATGTTGCTGTGAATTTTCTTGACAGAATCATTGCTTCCTTCATATATAAAAATTATTTTCCATGGAACAGACAGATTAGGCTGCTGTAGAACAATTTAACTTTTCTATACGTATTGATTCATTTTATTTATAAATTGTATATTATTTATTTATTATATTTACGTTTATAATTCTCTCTTTTTTTTTTCAGGCAAAAAGCATACTATCGTGACAAGATCGAAGACCGGGTCGTTGCAACCGCGAACCTTTAACATGGACGACGTGAAGAGACGGAGCATGGCACCGTTGTCGAAGGAGGAGCAAGAGAAGCTCGACAAGGGTATAAAGGATTCCGAAAACGAGAGCAACACCAGAGTGACGCGTCAGAAGGCGCATCAAATCGCGTCTGGCACGCATCTGTTCAAATTGGGCATGGACAACAACTTCAAGTCGTACGTCAATCAGTACACCACCAATCCTGTCTCCCTGAATAAGACACAGAGAAACGAGGAGCGCGACAAGAAACGTCACCTGTCGCACAAGTTCTCGCTGACGCAGGCGTCGGAGTTCAAGTGGGTGGGCAGTCTGACGGGCACCCGTGCCCTCCTGGTCAGTACCCTGCGCCAGACGATACTGCAGCTCGAGAACAACATTCAGGCGTCGTTCATGCACACCAACTGGCCGTTGCTGCGCAAACCGTGGACGTCCGCCGTAGGAGCGTGCGTGAACCCGCGTGACTTCGCGCGCACTCTTATCGTTCTGCAGGCGTGCATCAAATCCGTCGTATTCGCGAGTGTGTGGCACGACCAGCTTGGCCACGTGAAGCTGCAACGGGTGACGGCGCTCGAGCGCGAGGAGAAGAAGCGCCAGGACAAGAAGGAGAAGAAGGAGAAGGAGGACGAGGAGGAGCGTAATCGGCTCTTCAACTTCGTCAAGTACACGCTCGGCCTGAAGCATCAGGTGTGGAAGCAGAAGGGCGAGGAGTACCGTGTTCACGGCCAGGGCGGTTGGCTCTGGGTGTCGGCCAGACGCCGTCACCGACCCACGGACGCGACGAAGATGGGTTTGCGCACCGGTCCGCAAAAGATCATGGTACAGATCAAGGATCAGGGTGGCCTGAAAATACTCGCGCTCGACCCGCCTACTTACGAATTCCTCATCAAGGAGTATTGCCCAAGCAAGACGGAGAACGGTATTGTGAAACAAGAGATCAAAGAGGAAGGTGTGGAGAATGACACGATTAAGCAGGAGTGTAATACGGAAGGTATAAAGAAGGAGCCTACGATCGACGGCAAGAAGGAGCCTACGACGAACGGCGATCCTTCCCCAGTAGTAAAAACGGAATCGGTCAAACAAGAAACGAAGATGAATCTATCATGTATGTAGCGAGTTCGAATTTAAATGAATTTAAATTGAATATAATAAAAAAGATTTCTTGAAAATAGATATTAATATAATTTAACGTGATATGATTTAGAGATTTTTTTGTTTGTTTGTAAAGAACACTAAATAGCTAATAACTCTTTTTTCAGTTTTAGCAGGCATGAAAATTGAAAAAGTTTTTACTCCGATTACCGAATTCGAAGAGATCAACATTAACAAGGCACTAACCACTTCTGGAAGATTGCACTATCCAAAAGTTGCGAAAAAGACGAAGATCGACGATTTCCTGGCGCGTAGAACACATTTGAAGTTTTTGGAAGAAAGAAAGTTATTGCAATCCGTGAGTACTTATCTTTATAAAATCGTATCTATAATATCTCGTTTGGCGATTGTTTTATACAAATTTGATAGTAGATAATCTGTATAATGGTCTTAAAAATGTTAATATTATAAATTCTGTGTTACTTTGAAATATCTTTACAAATTGCAAGTTCAATGTTTTGCAGGCGAAAACGAAAGAAGCGAATCAGACGCCGAATCAGAAAGGCGGCGATGGCGATTCTGCAGAGGTCGATATGGAAAACCACGAGGAAAATGATACCGATGGTGCCGTTGGCGGTGGCGGGGATGGTTCTCTCCCAGGCCTCTTGGCATCGCCCACCGTCAAGCAGCAGCAGCAGCAGCAAGCGAGCAAACCGGTAGTAACGACCGTATCTGCGTCCACGAAGGAAGTGCTCGCGGCTATCACCAAGCGCATCCAGCAAGTGCGCTTGCAATATACGACTTCTTTGAAGCTCTGCAAGAACGGCGGCTGTTACTCGCGCTACTGCAACGCGAGTAACGCCAACAAGAATAACACCGTGCAAAGCAATACCCCGCAGGTCATCACTCCGAATACCATCGACACCTGTTACTCGCCTCTGTGCATGCGGAAGGCGCGACTGAAGCGCGACCTGATCGTGCTGCTGCGCAAGGCGAACGCTCTTCAGAACAACAATCAGTCCTCGCCGCAGGTTACGGCTCTCGTGAAAATGGAAACCTCGGACGAGTCGAAAGACGCGATCAGACGGGACTTGGAGTCCGCGGTGGCATCGGCGACACGCTGCAACGCGGAGGACGCGGCGACGAAGAAGACAACGGGCGTCGCCGTTTCGTCGCCGAAGAAGATCAAGCTCGAGAACGAGCGCGCGGAGAACGCTGGCGTGACGACAACTACCGTCACAACGAGCAACGTCGTTACCACCACCACGACGATCACGACGACTCAGCAGACGGTGCTGAAGAGCGCGGACGGCGTGACGCAGGAGCAGTCTGCCGTTAATCGTAACTCGACGACCGTCTCCTCTTCGGAGACCACGACCACGATGACGAATAAGAGCGGCGCGAAGACGGTGATGATCGTGAACCGTCGAGGTAGGACGGTGCAGCGTACCACGTTCGTCAGAGAACTGAACGCCGACGGCACCGAGCGAATATACACGGCAACGTCGACGGAGGGCAAGGTATACCTGAAGAAGGTGGTCAATACGATGGCCGATCGTAAGAAGAAACGCACGCCGGTCAAATATCCGCTCTGCTCGACTTTCTGCACGAAGAACAAGCAGCGCAGTATACTGGTGCTCCCTCAGCACGAGTTGAGGAAATTATCTCGCGTCGGTGGTAAGGTGCCCGTGCAGGGGTTCCACCATCAGGCCAAGGCGAATTTGTCGGTGTGGCCGTATCCCTGCCCCAGACCCTTGTTCAAGACCTGCTGGCTCTACCGAACGGTCGGCCTGAAGTCGCTCGCCGCCGCGGCGATTCAGCTGAGAATACTCTGGGCGTGCCTCAGATGGGACGACATGGCAGCTAAGCCGTTGTCCACCGACGGCAAGAATCAGATCACCACCGACACGGAGATCATGTCGCTGGAGATATTGAAGCATCGGCATGTCGGGCAGTTCCTCGACAGGGCTCAGTATCTACGTAGGAAGGTCGTCATACCGCTCGAACTTCCAAAACAAGTCAGAGGTTTGTATAGAAAATAACGTGTTATCAATCGTGAAGATTATTTAATTTTTTTGATTGTTGTATCATTTTTATCGTAAGCTTATTATTATTTTTTTTATTGTAATTGATAATTTGTATCGAGTGGTGGTAACATAACTTTTTTAAACAATCATATGCCACGTACGAAAATTTTGCAGAGGTAACATCCATAAGGAGCGGTCTGAGAAAAAGGAAGCGTCCGGAATCTCCGCAGAGCACCGAACCGCAAGTCACTGAGGAATGGGTCGACGAGGACAAGTTGGAGTTATGGGAAATCAAACAGTACGGCGACAGGTATAGATTAGGAGCAATTAATGCAACGTGTGTCTGACAATGAAATATTTGCATGTTATTCCGTGTGTTTAACGTTTGTAAAATTCTCTCTGAAACATTCTTCTTATCTTAAAATTGCTGTGCCACTGGTCGATTTCGTCGAGCTTGCTCAAGTTTTTGGAAAGGAATGTGTTATAGACGTTAACGATTCTTACATTGCCCTCAGTAAAGTCGAAATAATTTTATCGGAATAATTTTAATAATAGCGTATGTCTGTAATAGTGTATAATCTGATTTTTTTTAATTGCACTTAAAATGGTTAAATTTTATTAAATTTGGAAATTAGAAATTTATTACCTGCGCGACAGTTTTTCTTGTGTTTAACGAATAATTTTCTTATATAAATTTTTCTAAATTTTTCGTAAATCTTGGAAAATTGATATGCATATCAATTTCATTTATATATTTCATTTATATGTCCCTCGATTCGAAGACAAACAAATTGCGCTATCCGTGTGAAACACGTCTCTGTTTACGCTTGCGTAATTCACGTCGAGAATGATATCCTAAAATCTGAACCGCTGAACCTTTAACCGCTTGCTTTCTTCCATTGGGAACTAACCCTCCGCTTGGTGTGTCTGTCCTGTCTCCAGGTTAGAGAAGGCTAATGCGCAGATTATTACTAGGAGTCGCTCAGGAGCACCGCAGTCGGTGATCGTCAGCGGTGGCAATAAGACCGCCACCGCCGGCGCCGCCGGCGGCGGCACGGCCGGTCTGACTGGCGATCAGCTCGTGAGCGGCAAAGCGACACCGGAGGAAATCAAGGAGAAGATGGAGCAGCAGTTGCGCATGCAACGGGCGGCTCATCAACAGAAGCGTGCTCTGCACGAGATGACACTTAAAAATCAATCTGCGACGTCGCCCGCCACGCAACTTGTCAAAGTTACAACTAATTCCTCTCACGGTAAGCGGACCAAACTAAATGGTAGATCTGCTAAGAAGGGTGTAATATACACAATGATACATATTTGATCTTGCTCGTTGGAACAATTAACGTAGGTCGGGACGAGATTTATATTTAAAAAAAATTATATGTTACTTTCAGATGGCACCGTTAAATTGGTTTCGAAAGTCCCGATTCCGGCAAATCCGAATAGCACAAAATCACAGTTGACCTCTCTTCTAACAACTCCAACGCAAAACAAAACTTTTATCGGTACACGGCGAATCTACATGACGAAATGTGAGTCGTTTACTCTTGTATATTCGAGCGCGGATATGATATGACGAAATTAACATTCATACGAACTGCTATGTTGCGTCATTTCAGCTGCCGATGGAACCACTAAGGTTGTGTCCGGACCTACCAGTATTTTACCGAAAACACCGCAAACCCCAGGGCTGAACCAGCAATCCTTGATCAGGGTGACACCGACAAGTGAGTTGACTTATTATTTAAAGCAACATTAATGACAACGATGATACGAGAGTCCTTCTCGTTCCCGAAAGGTCGAGGCGCAATGTGCAAGTTCTCTTTCTGATAAGTTTCATCTCAATTGTATCTTAATCGTATTTTTCCAGCCACCGCTTCGCCTGTACACGTGCAGCAGAGAGTGCAAATTCTCAGAGGGCCAGACGGAAAGTTGCAAGTGCGCGGCTTGCTGCCCGGCCAGCAATTGGTTCAGATGCCGGACGGGAAGCTGCACGTGCTGAATGTAAGCCAAACTGTGGGTACCACAATTGCGCAAGGCGCTCAAACGAAATCGACAACAACTGCGACTGCTCCACAAGTAATTTATTCGAAAACACATCTTTTGAAAACGAGGTTTCTAGTTCGTGGAAGATTGGCGTATAAAAATTAGATATATTAATCGGTACAACAGAAATTAATAATTGAGACAGAATCAAAGAATAAAATACATAATAGTAAGCTTGTTTATGGAAAAACTGTAACAAATTAAATCACACGGTCAATACGAGCCTGCAAAAGTGCGAGTGCTCACGCGACAACTTGATAAATTATCCCTGTTATATTTTAGGCGAAAACCGTGACCACCGTTAGCCCGAAAACGACGACGGAGAGTACGACCGCGACTAAAACCAGTCCGAGCGCAAAGGCAACGGCGAACTCGACGGTGCAAGTGCAAACGCCTCAGCAAGTGCAGGTCGTTCAAACTGTCCAACGCGTAAAATCCGCGACCATGACCCTGGCACCTGTCGCGACGACTCCGACGAAGAATGCCATCGTAGTCACAAGTACAGGACAAGCCGCGCAGGTGACGATTTCTTCGGTTATTCTCGAATCAAATTATGAAATAATTCTTGAATATATACAGTCACCTAACAAAAATTTCTGACGATTCAGCAAAATACTAAATACGATGTATCTACATTCAATTTTATTTAATATTTTAAGAAATTATCGAGAAAATTGAAAACGCTTATGCGTTACATATAAATATTGTAGGTGATATCTTCGGGTGGACAAGTAATAAGCGGCAATCCGATAATGGTCACGAACGCAAACCTGGTTCAACAGTTGACGTCGGGCAAGGCCCAGTTGACCGCGATCGGCAATCAAGTTGTGATACGTAACCCATCCAATCAAATTTTGCATCTGAATTCGGCTAATGGCGGATTTATCGTGAAGGGCACCGTCGCCGCCAATAAACAAGGTTAGTCACTCGAATTATCTGCACATTTTTAAAGAAAATATTAACCGAAAGCTCACCGAAGAATTTGCATTTCGAAAAAAGTGTGCTTAGCAAGATCTCTTTTTGATCTTCTTTTTCTGAAAATTTTACACTGAGAATATAAATTTATATCTTTAGCCTTGCAAACCACGCCAACTTCGACAGTTGTACAGTCGGCCACAACTACAAACACGAGCCCGACGACGACGACCGTCGCAACGTCCACCATGTCATCGACGACGACTTCGAGCTCCGTCGCGACTCCGATTCCGGGAAGTATCGAGGCTTCTTTACTGGCAGGGCAGCCACCCGGTACAGTAATCAAGTGCGTGACGGCGCAGGTTATCAATACGGACCAAGGTCCGCGAATTGTGCTGCAGGGTTTGACAGGCTCGGAGTTCACGCAGCAGCAATTAAACCTGGTGCAGCAACAAGTTAAGCAGCAACTTCTGAAAGGTCAGTTGTTAATCTTCAAAGATGCAATTTTATTGATAAGTTCCCGCATGATATTAACATTATTGATCGGAGAAGTGTCGGCTCGTCTTTTGTTGCCGACTGTTATTGATCAGTTCGCTCGTGTTTGGAGAGGCATACAGTTTAAATTATCGTGCAAAGTTAAAATTGTGATCTTAAAACTGATAAATTTTTCATTATAAGATACTGTTTATCGACATCAGTGTTTATCCAGATGTCCAGTGACAGTATTTATTCTTCACTTTTTTGTCGTGGTTTGTTTTTGATTTTTTTTAACCTTATAAACGAAAGTTTGTTTGCGGAATGTTGAGCATGAAAAATAATCTCCAGTCCCCGCATGAAACACCCAGTCAACAATGTGTTAAATTATAAGTCTGAAATCGATTCCAGCGCATGCAGCGACCGGCAAGCAAGGTGTCTTAGGACCGACGAAGATTTACTTGGCCGTCCAACCGGCCCAATCGTCCAACAATCAGCAACAGCAGTCGCAGGCTTCGTCGGCTACAAACACGCCAGTGTCGACTCCGAAGCAGCAACAGCCTACAACATCCCCGTCTACGAATGGTACGTAAATTTTTAACTTTTCGTTAACGTTTGAAGAAAATGTGCAACGACAAACGCGTGTTCGGAAGTAAATGCTCTTGTAAAAACAATACCTTCGACGAAATAGTTTTTAATATTTTGCAATATCGCGTATATCTGTCTTTTATTAGAAACCGCCACCGAAACCATTCCAAAAACTCCGCAAGCGGCAACCCCAAAATCGACGGAGAAACCAAAGGTGGTCGTTCAGCAAGTGGGACGCATGACAAACGCGACAGAGGACGACACGCAAAAGACGAATATTGCCAACGGACAACAGCCATCGTCGCAGTCCGTGAAAGAGGGAAGCGACTCATCGTCGAATAAATTTATACTGACCCCAGATTACATTCAACAAAGTTAGTAGAAAATCACACGTATATAAAGTGTGCTTCTATACAAAGTTTTTTCGAGAAAGTCTTTTTTTTAAAAAGAGCATATTTCTTTTACGCAGATAAATTTTTATGCAAAAAAATTAATTTTCTTATGTTTTATACAAGAAAATCTTTTCAAAGATTTTTATATAAATTATAATAAGAATTTGTCGCGTAGGACTTTCTTCTTCGAGAAACATTTCTTAAATATTTTCTTACTTTGAACGGCCCTATTTATTTCTGTTTACAGCAATTAAAAATGCTTTGAAACAAGAGAATCTGAATCCGGAGATAGAGGAAAAATTGTTGCAACTGCAACGCTACCAGGAGAAACAAATGAAGGGCGGCGTAGAGAATTCGGTGACCAGCAATCAGACTCATAACTCACCCGCGGCAGCAACGCCGCGTCCGCCTTCGCGCAAACGGCCGGCGCCGTCGTCGAACATTCCAGCAGCAGCAGCAGCAGCAGCTTCGGCAGCGGCGACGACACCGACAAATACACAATCGTCCGGCGGGGGCAACGACAAAGACGACAAAGACTGGGAGACACCCAGGAAAAGACCAGCGTTGAAGCAAGAAAATCGCGAAACGATCCCAAAGTAAGAGATGCATACAAATAAAGATCAAATAGCATGTGTGATCAAATGGCTATTAACACACGATACAGTAGTACAATTCGCTTCTCTTCCATGTTCGATATATTTCCCTTTTGGCAATGATTATTATCCCAATAATGCACATCCTCGTGCAGTTTGTCTGCAAATCATGAATATTTGAGATTTGCAATGAGTTTGATCAGATCGAGTTGATTGAATAAAAATTTTTTCTTACATAATGTCATTCCACATAGATTATGTTATTCTTTTTTACTTTTTTTATCCTTTTTATTTTTCCTTTTTTTTTCTTTCGGCTCCCCAAATAAGCAGAGTTGTGCTGCTACATTACGCTGTGCTTAATTAATTTTATTTAAATCTGTTCGCTTTGCTTCTAAAACGCGGTGATTCTGTAATCAGGTGCTAACATTTTTAAATTTATTTATTTAATTCTCTTTTTACATCATTTATACGATAGATAAGATAAGCAAAAATATCATTGAGATGTATATATAAATTCTATTTAAAAAATAGGAAAAAAAAATTTTCTTACATTTTTAAAAATGTTAACTTATCAATAATCATAACATGTATTTATGCGTGAAAAGTATATTGAATTCAAATTGTGTTTTTGGAAATATCTTCAAGTAAAAAATATACACATATTAGATCAATGCTTGTATACAAAATGGAAATATTCAGAACACCCAGATAAAATCTTATTTTTGTATTTAATCCCGTTTTATTATAATTTATTATTTATTATTAGGATTGGCTTCAATGTCGAATCACACTTAATTTGAATCACACGTGCAAAAAATTGAGAAAACAGTAGGATTTTAAAAATCAGGAAAATATTGAAAATATTGAACTTGTTAACATACAAAATACCTCAAACTTACTAAAAAATATTAACCGTGATTTGTTTCTTCTGTATTCAACTTTTAGCCAAAAATGTCGAAATAAATCATATTTTTATTAATTTTTGACGCTTTTTTTTATGTCATAACTTTTTCTACTTTCGTCGTTCAATTTTTATTATTTCCATTGTTACTTTGTATATTTAAAGTCTTTGTTTGAAAAAGAAAGACTTTAAATAATGTTCGAAAAAATTGTATCATCTATGTAATAATATACAGATTGTTTGGAACCAAATTTTTTATCATTGTGATAACACGAACAATTGTATTCTCTTTTAACCGAAATGAAACTTTCGATTAAAAGAGTTCAATAAATTTTGTACTTATATATGATAATAAATAAAAGAACACATTTACAATAAATACATTACAATAATAATAAGTAATTAATATTTATATTATAAGTAGTTTCTTTCACTGATATTCTTATCATATCGTATCCGCGGTAGTCAAACTATTACATATTTATAAATCATATTAAAATTCTAGAATGCCGAAACTATCGGAGGCATTAGATAACGAGTCGTCACCTAAAAATCGATCTGCAAAATTGAAAGACAGTCAAGAGCAGCGAAGGAAACAACAAGTGCATTCCCGAATGCAGGTTTTATTATTCCGGCATAAGGAACTTCTTAAAAAAGACATTCTTAAAAAGAGAGCTTTACTCGAGAAAGAGCTTCAAATCGATATACAGGTAATGCTAATTATAAATAATGTAGCATTATGATATATATGTAATATTTTATGTTACATATTGTTATATATTTATATATAATGTAGTAATATATATACAATAATTATTTAAATAATTTATGATCCACATTATCGAATTGAACTTCAAGCCAATTACATTTTGCTTCAATCATGGACTGAAAAAAAAAGAAAGCTGTTGATATGGACTGAAATTTTTTTTTATTCAGCTTTTTGTAAATCGTGTACTTATTCAGTTTGTTCGTGATTTGATTTGCGACGTCGTTCAATGAAATTTGTAACTTCATTTTTTAGTAACATTCTTTATCGAAACATGACTTTTGTTGCAAAATAAATCATACAATATCGAAATATTCGCTTAGCTCGATAATATGGACACTAAATGATTGAAAAGAAATGAGAGAAAATACCTTATTGCCAAATCATCTTGAATCGAGAGCCTTCTCAAATATGTAAAGAAATAAAAAAGAATGAGCATCCCATAACAATGCAACAATGTGTAGACGCAGAAAAATCGCAATTTTATTCAAGATGATTTGGAGAGATGAGATCTTGAATTTTACGTCGATTCTTCTGGATTGTAAATCAGAATTTTCGTAAAATTTTAATAAATATCCTTGTAGAAGGAATTGTCAGCGGAGCTGGCCACCAGAACGAAAGCGGAGAGGCATAAACAGGACGAAGTAAAGGTCGGCAGCGCAAAGCGAAAGGCAAATGCTCAAGCGGCTCAACAGGTCAGCCCGTCCAATCGTAGTGGTGGTAGCAGACCGAAGAAGCATAAGGGTCAAAGCAACAGTACGACGCCTCCTGGTGGTTCGTCGGCCGCGAGTCGCATTAAAAAAGAAAAACTGTACTGTTTATGCAGAACTCCTTACGACGAAACCAAGTAAGAGCTCGAGATCTCATACAAAGCCTGATTGAATTTTTATCAATGTACATTTTTTTATCAACTGCGTTTTAAAATTGTATCACGTTTATTTTAATCGAAGAACATAATCTTGAGATCTTTATTTATACAGCTGATAGACTCATAGTCAGCGCTCGTGAAGTAGAGAATCGTGGTATCAGTAAGATATTTTTTTTGTTTATTAATTTTGTTATATTATATTCTGTCAAATTTAAAAAGAGGCTATAAACTTTGATGACTCGTCATAACTCTCGTCATAAAGCTCGTCATAACATGTGTTGATAAAATTATAAAATAACGTTCTTTCTTTAAAGATTTTACGTGGGATGTGATTTATGCAATAACTGGTTCCACGGCGACTGCGTGGGTATAACGGAAGAGATGAGCAAAACTCTATCAGAATTTGTTTGTACGGAATGCAGACACGCGAGAGATACGCAAGAATTGTATTGCCTGTGTAAACAGCCTTATGACGAATCTCAGTAAGTGCATTATGCGTTGATAAGAAATTATGTTAACAATAGCTGTATCTCTGATAATAGTAAAAAAATCTTATATTTTTATTATGTAGTTAGCATTTAGAGTAATCGCGTCTATTCTTTTTAAAGATTTTACATATGCTGTGACAAATGCCAAGATTGGTTTCACGGCCGGTGCGTCGGTATTCTTCAATCGGAGGCCGACAACATCGACGAGTACGTTTGTCCGAATTGTCAGCGTAATTCTTCTGTTAACTTCGCCAATATGAAGAACCTCAACGCAAAAGACCTCGATCTGTTAAAGAAATTAATTAAACAAATACAGGTATATATTATTTTCAATTGAATATTATCATTATAATTCCTAAATTAATTCTTTTGTCTCTCTCTGGGAGAGAATATATATCCTCGATAAAATTCTAAATTAATTTTAATATGATTATATATAGTCAACTTTACTAGAAATCGTTATTTAAAATAAATTTTTTTATAACTTATTATAAACTTTTTTGTTATTCATCAAAATAAGATAAAAAATAATATTTTATTAGATATATTGAAGTGATAAAACATTTTATTCGATCCAGTTATGGTTTGAAAATCCTGTTCAAAAGGATTAACGTTCAAACACACGATATTCACAATATGCAACTTGTTTGTTTCAGGCTCATAAAAGCGCATGGCCGTTTATGGAACCAGTAGATCCCAACGAAGCGCCGGATTATTACAAAGTAATAAAGGAACCAATGGGTAAGTATCGTGATTATCACTTCAATAATCTGTTTCTCTTTTTAGATAAATTATTTTGACGGGAAAACGCCTTTCTTTAAGTGTAATATATCTTCTTTTAAACGGCGCGATAGAATTATTTATACACATCCAATCTAATTATACATTTTAGACTTGCAAACGATCGAATTGAGGATAAACGACCGGTCCTACAAGAAGCTGAGCGAGTTCATCGGCGACATGACAAAGATATTCGACAATTGTCGATATTACAACCCGAAGGAGTCACCGTTCTTCAAATGCGCCGAATCCCTGGAGACGTACTTCGTCCACAAGATTAAGTGTCTGAGGGAGAAGTTCTCGGAAGGGAAGTAATTCAATCAAAAAAGAACGAACTTAGCCGCAAGTGAAAGTGCACGAGAATTTAATTTAGTGCAGTGCATTTTACGGAAAAAAAACAGAGAAGGGAAAACAGTTGTTTGTGCCAGTACAGTACACAGATAAAAAGAAAACTGAAACTCTTTCTCTCTCTCTCTCTCTCGGAATAGACTTAAGTATGTAAAAGTAGAGAAGGCACCGGTCTCCGCTATTTATTATAGTTGTGTGAAATATTTTCCTTTCCCCTCCCACTCCCTCACTGCAATTTTCAACGAGTTTCTCAGTTCCATTTGTGCTGTACGAAGTGTGAATTTTAGACCAGAACTTACCGCTCATACCGTGTCGCGCAGTTGATTTTATCTACGAGAATGCTATCATCATTTTGCCGTCTACTATTGCGTTAAAAAGAGAAAAAAAAGGAGAGAAAGTAAAAGCCATATAGCACGATCACTTTTTTAACAATTGCGTTTGAAATATAATATATAATTATGTAACATAATTCTTCTTCTCATTATCGAAAGCCCTTTTTATTCGGTTCCCCCCCCCCCTTGGACTTGTGGCAACGGAGTGTTTGACAGAAACCGCAAGGTCCGCTTTTTTTTCCTCTTAACACGCTCACTGGCCGTCCAATTGAACTTTTTAACAGTTGTCGATCATCGCTCTTCGAACCCTTCATTACACTTCCTGCAACACTTTCAAAAGCGAAAGAGCTTTCCTTCTAAGAAAGTGCTTTCCCTCAGACAAGAGTTTCAGCGAAGAGTTTCGCCTCTCACATCTCTCACGAGAATATTCATAAGCCCCGTGTGTCTCGCGAACAGTGAACGTGTTATCGTGAAGCGCCCGCATTGGAGCCGTGTACGAAATGCAACACTTGCCTCTTTCCGGCGTTGCAACACATTGCGTATGTGTATTTTTTTACGAAAAGAAAGAAGCGGAGCACATTCGCGGACACGCGATGCCCATCGCGAGCGATTAAAGTGACGTGCGTAAAAACGACGAGTCCCTCTTGAGTCACGAAGTTTTATCTCAGAAGCGATATTACGATGAGATAAAAAAACCGTGAACTGCGTTTCACTTTTTAAGCCCCACCCCTAAAAGATTAGCCTTATTTAATTGTCTCATTTTAATACTGAGTTCTCGCGAAAGTGTATATCACTTCGTTTCCCCGCGCAACGAATCTGTCTTATTGTAACATCCTCCGGAAAGAAATACGAAAATTATTTAACGCTGAGCGTAAGTGAACAAAATAAATGAGTGCTCGAAAACGAAATGAGGCGAAATTCGAAACCGCGAAGATCCAATGATACGTATATCTACGATATACGTCTAGGAAAAAGAAAACCGCGCAAGTTTATTTTTTGTATATTAAGAACCTTTTTTCCTATATACAGTAGAATATATACGTGTGTATATATACACTTGTATAGGATACGAGGTAGACAATTCGCGCATAAAAACGTCATCGTGTACACTTCGAGTTTATGCAGTTAGTCGTAAGTTGTGGTTCAGAATTCATGCGCCATTCATCATGTTATGCTATTATTTATGTATGTAAATACAATGAAACGCGATCGTGACTTCGCAAAAACCGATGGTCCGAAAGTCGCGCGGAAGGAGAAGAGAAAGAAAGAAAAAAAAAAAGGAAAGGAGGAGAAACGATCGGCTGGCTGATTACGAATACGATTTGAGACGATCGAGAGAAAACGCTGCTCCACATTTAAGCTATTTCTTTATACGATGTACCCGACGTGAGAAAGAGAAGTGGAAGAAAAATGCAGAAGGAATGCAGTTGTGTCATTACATAGCCGTAAGACTATTTTTTAGGAGTACACGCATAATAAATTGTACAAATTCGTTTATCGTCTCGTGCTCACACGCAAGCTAGCGATTATACGATTCTATTTACTTATGCGTTGTTTTAATCACATAAATAAATTTTCTATGAAATTGTTTATAATCGACGATTCACATTTAGGCGTTTAGATTGTAAGGGACGGGCAGCGAAGTCTGCTTATGTATATATATATACGCAACACCACACAACTACACACACACAGATGTGACAAAAAAAAAGAACAGGGGAGTTTATCTCGAGGAGAAAGGCAATTGTAGAATTCTTTGATTTCCAAACAAGAAGAAAATAAAAAAAAACCAGTGAAAAGTACTTGAGGAGTTTCGTTTGAATGAAATAATATTATAACGAGAAAGAGACTATCGTTTATATTTTAGCTGTATTATTAATAAAAAGAAAAAAAACCGTGTAACTGATAAAGAGGCACACTTTGATTCTGCGTGTGTGTTTAGACGGGTGTGTAGAATAGAGAGCGATGTTTCTTTATGCAGATACATAATTATAATAAAAGGACATGAGATAGTTTTTAAGTATCTGTATTTAAGATCGAAGCTTCTGCCTCATATTTTTATTGTGAAAATTAGCGAGTGTCAATGACGATTTTTGTTAATTATTATGTATTTTGAAAACCTCGAAATTTGTTGTTTTTCTAAAATTAATCCAACCGGTAGAATCACTTGAAGCAAAGTTTCTACCTGTATAATTCGTCACCTCTCGATTACCTTTAATCTTTCCTTTTATAAACAAAATTAATTATTCTATCCATGTTAACAAAATGATACAAGTATTACGTGATAATTCAAATTTAAACTTCGATTAATCGGAGTTCAATCAAAGTCACCCTAAATCGATTGTCGGCCGTGAAGTCCGACAAAAAAAAAGTGATGATTGATCTTTCAAAATATTTACAGTCATTCTGCAAAGTATTTTCGCGGAAATATTCGCGGAGCTTGTCGCAGACATAAAAGCCAAAAAAGTTTCTTCAAAACATAAACAGATTGAAGATCATGAGTTGGTCGTTGCAGGTAAATATTGATAAACATATAATAAAAGAATATTATTTTGACAAGTTCACGATTATAATATAAATTTTATATATTTTTTTAACGAATATACACGCGTATGTGTATGCATGATTGTAATCGCTTTTCTTTTCTCGGTGTAAAATTGCTATACATGAAACATTATAAAACATTTACGTCCGTTTCGCGTTGCGCATACACAATGTAAAGGAAAATAAAAAAAAAAGACGTGGAAGCTGCGCGCGAACACGGAGCTGTCCGCGCTGTAGGTATTTGTGCACGCACACAGATGACCGAAGGAGATCAATATCGGTATGGCGGCGCGGGAGGAGCTGCTTCGCACGGTGCGATCGTCCGCGGTCGACGGTTGACGGAGTGAGAGAGAGAGAGACAGGAAAAAATGGCACGCGACGTTTCTCGCCGGTCGACGGAACGGCCAGGGTGGACCTCCACGAGTCGGACCGCACGAGCCGAGCGCCCGGGATCGCACTAGCGGACGCGGTTCCTCGTCGTTGACGGAAACGGACGGCACGTCGGGGGAAAGACGAGGAGTGCGCGAGAGACGCATACCGGTTGACAGATCGTCGCCACGCGCTGCGCCCGAGAGACGACGATTGAACCATCACCATGGCGAAGTATGTCACCGCGCGTTAATCACGTCGCCTACTATCTACCTACAATTGGAGCACGCACACGCACACCCGAGCGGACGGCGGAGCGAGCGATCGAGTTTCCGAAGCTCGCGACGACGTCCTCGTGTTTACTATTTTTTTCCCCCCGTCCTTGCGATCGCACACGCAACTGCGCAACGATGACGTCCCGCCGGGTGCCTCGTGTCTCGTGGAAGAGGACGCGAATTTGTTTTTTTTTTTTCCCCCAAGTCCCAGAAACGCGGAAATTATCTCGTCGACGCGCGATTTCCCCGATTAGAGCATGCCATGCTTCTCTCGTATCGCTGCTCCACGAGCACTGACGAGCTGACGCGGGTGTCATATGCATGCTTGTAGCTTAATCTTATCTCGCCTCGATACCATATCGGTTACTGGAAACCGTCTAATCGGCGATTATTCCCTCGGGGAGTGTGATTCACTCAGTCATGCGCCAAAACTGAAACACTCCGCAGAACGCGTCCTCTCGCATTGCCCGGGGGGCAATTCGCTCTACAATGAGATACTCCGAGATACCTTCGCGATCGTTTCCAATATATTTAGACAGATTAGATCTGGGTAAGATATATTAGATCTCCGTGCGAATCTTGCAGTCAGAAAGCAGAAACTAAAATCTCCCGGTGAAAGTTACATAATACGATTTATCACGTCTACTAGCTGTCTATGTTGTTTTTTAATATAAGCTTCGCTTAATTTACCACCTTTATTTTGTAAATTTACCACTGCCTGCTTTTTATATCTATATTTTGTATATGAATTTTATGCTTGATTAACTACATATACACCAATAAGATATTTGTGTCCTGGCATTAAGAATATTTTGTTTTCAGAGAGATGATGATAGTATTCATTTACGACACTGCAAAGTGTTGTAAAGAGGAGGATGATCCCGCCGAGGCGGTTCTGTACTTCCATCCGGCTTGGGTATCTCTCACGCAGAGACTGGCCCTGGCGGGGCAGCTGATGGGTGTGCATCACTTCCTGACGACGTCGTTTTCAGCTCCACGGTCCATCACATTGCAAGGCGGAAAGTTTGTGTTGAAGAAGTTTGGGCAGTACGTGCTGGTGAGTCACCCCCCAGTCCCGTTTCACTGGCGGGCGCTCAACTTAAATAAGATGTAACTTAAGAGTCAAGATTTGCATAACACCAGATAATCTGTAATATAACGTTTGTATTTTACTGATTATAGTATACAGTTATGTTTTCTCTAAGTAGATATTAATAATTACTAAATAATAACAGCCACTAAATAATATTAATATAAAAAAACCAAGAATGTCAATAATAATAATAAGTTTCAAAGCTGCCTTGTATTTTCTTAAGACTCCTCTAGGGAATCCGAGCACGCATTTCGCAATGATAAATGTTCTCTTTACATGTCACCGCGTTTTGTGTTATTTAGTTAGATAGAGACGTTATCTGGCGCCACGATTATTCAATCGTCGCAGTATTTATGAAGAGCTAATATGTTCGTTGTATTTTACGATCTCAATGGCCGTTTGTGAGATTAATCAATTGTAAATCATCGCTGCATAATTTTGTTACAGGCAGTGGGGACTGATAGAAACATACACGACTGGATACTCGAGAGACGCGCCGATACTCTGGAATCGTTGTTGAAGTTCTTCCATTGCGATCTCGTCCAGATACTGGAATCCCTCAACAACGATCGTAACAGATTCACCGAGAAATTGTATCAGATGTTTGAGACCTACCTGCCCATTCTTCAACATAGTGCCAATCTGTTTTCCAACATTCCTGTTATTAAACTTCCAAAGGTTAGTGCGGATGGTACTAAATTCAAAAAGAATATGTTGCAAGATAAAAAATATACCCAATATAAATATGTATAATTTAAAATGATTATAAACTTACATAATTTTATATATTTTCTTGTTTTTTATAATAAAAGTGTGTGTCTTTTAATGCAGAGTGCCAGCAACATATTTCTGGAAGGAATGCAAGTGTTGCAGCATTGTCAAGAGATAAATGGCATTTTGGGCGGAGCATTGTTTTACAATAACAAGTACGAAATAGATCATAATTTATAAATAAAATCATATTGTGGTTTTCATATCGCATTTTATATTTTCTTAAAATATTAATCTACTTATATATTCTGATGTTAATAATTGCTGTTAATTATTTTTAAATAACCTAATCTTTATTAATTTTTTTTTCTTTCAGGATAGTCTCAACACAGCTAGGAGCGGATCTAACGAAACAAATAGTTATAACTGATCCTTACAGAATAAAGGTATTTCTTCGATAAAATTGATTTAAAAAATATATATAAATCTAAATACGACTGATTGAACAGAATGAAAGCGTACTCGCTCCTGTTCACTGAGAAATTCATAATATGTGTATTGAATTTTTGCAGGCTCCTGCGGAAAGGATACCCACAGAATTTCACTTGCCGATCGGTGTTCAATTGTTACAAGTGTACATAGAACGGAAGCAATTCGCAAAACTGATGCAAGAGGCGAATAACGAGCGATATTATAATTCGTGTTTAGATACTGTGACCAAGAAGATATTACAGAAAAAGGTAGGTGCGCGAAACGATAACAATATATAAGGGTATAAATTTAATTAATTCCTGCCATTTCGATGAAAATTGTAATAATGAACAACTTGCGGATTTCTCGTCTTACGTTCAATTTCGTTGAAATTTCAGACCGTATCGAAGACCGGCGTCAAAGAGCCGCTCATCACGTCCGGCATGAAGCGGGACACATCGAAGATCTTCACGGTTCCCGAGGAGGGTGAACTGGACGCGACGAATTACGGCCCGCCGGCGCTGCAGTACGTGTCGTCCGTGCCGCTCGCGATCAGCCACGAGTCGCCGATCAGACGCAAGCAAGAGAGCAAACCGGAACGTCCCAAGGTTGCCGTCACTGCCAACCCGCTCACGCCCAGTGTCTGCGCGACGCCGTTGAAGGACGTGGACCGGGTGCTGCACGGGAACGCCATGCTCATCTGCTCGTCCGAGAGCGGCGGCGAGAACGAGGGAGTTAGGAGCTCGTCGAAAAGTGGCGACGACGACGACGACATTCCCGACGTCGTCAAAGAGGCGCTCAGGTATATACACGCGTTCATTTTCAAATCAATTTTCAGAAATTCTAGGGAACGTGAGATTATGCGTTTCGAAGTCGCGAATGTTAAGCGTGATGACGTGTAATTTTCGAGCGAGTCGCGAAGTAATCGAATTTTTATTACATTTATTTTTATTTTTATGACAGGTGCAAACGCTTGAACAAGCTGAGAAACGCTACTTCGAAGAAGAAGCTGATGAAGAGGAGGGATCCCGACAGGAAGAGCGTGAGCCTGCCAGATTTGACGTCATCAATTAAGCCACGCCTGAACGGTATTCCTAGGGCTGATCCGGAGTTAGACAAAATGTAAATAAATTAATGCCATAATTATCCGATTGCCGAATATGATTATCGAGTCGGTAATTGGGCTTGAAAAATAACATAGCTATCTTATTTTACTCTTACATTTCATTATTGTAACAGGCTGTGCAAATTGAATGAAGCCTCGCCGGACGACCGCGATCCGAATTCGCCCCGGCGGAAGCTCACCAGAGGTAGCATGCGACACTCACGCACTATCGTCGATCCCTGTTATCCCGTCTTCCGATACGACGGTCTGCCGGTCTCCCAGTCATTGTACGAGCAATACATCGCCTCCCACTGCGAGGAGCTGCGTGATAACGGCGATAGTGTTCGCGAGCGTCGCGGCGGCGACGATGACAATCTGCAATCAAAGAGTCTGCCGAGCGACCTGACGAGCGCGAAATTACCGATAAACAGCAATCAAAATTCAATCCCGAGGGAAGGTACGTTATTTAAATCACAAACTAAAATCCTTAAAAAAATTAATATATAATA